TCAGTTTTCTCTTCTGTTTATTTTGTATTGTGTTTCATACTTACTTCTGTAAGCCTCATGTGATACTATGTGGTGCATGGGGAATTTGTTGTGTTTCTTTTAATTAAAAAAAAAAAATAATAAATATCATTATTGTAATGCAGTTTGTAAGTCATTTTGAATTCCGAAACTTCAGTAAAATATTTTCTAAAAACTCACTTGTTATAAAAGGTTATTTAACTTGTTTATAGATTAAACTTAAAAACGCATTAATAAATGAACAAAAGCTTAATAAATGGTAATCTAATTTGCTTAGAAAAAACTGCAAGCAATTCAGGTAATTTGAGTCCTGAGTAATGTCCTGATAATTGGAATTCTATTGAACTGAATATCATAATTAAATATTTATTTCTTTTATTATAAATTATTATTTGAAGTTAATCTTCTGTTTACAATTACTTTGTTGTCAGTTTTAATTATGACTGTCTTGAGAAAATTTCTCTGACCGTACTCGTATTTAACGATCTCTTACTTTTTGAATTTAGTGCTCGGGATAAAAGTCCTGCAAATAATCTGTGCCCGCCAATAACAAAATTGCTTTGCTGATGATACTTTTGCTGCAAAGCGAAATGAGAAAGACTTACTTCTAGTGCGCGTGATTGGTCATGCTAATTACAACTTTCCGGCTGTAGTTCATGAGAAAAGCCTGTGTTCATTTTCTGTAGCAGCTGTCGTCAAAATGTATAGATAGTTTGATAATCGAAGAGTTGAACAAATAAGTAGTCTTCTCATCTTTCCAGTAAGTTGCTGAAACAGAAGAGACTTAACAGCTGTTCGCTGATGTGTTTGCTCTGTACTTGCACTAAGACCTTGAATAATTACCGGCCATAAAAGAAAAATTGTCATCAGTCTTTTTCTGGTTATTCGGAGGATACTCTAGATATACATTTGTCGTATGCTTAAGTCTTGAAATCCTGCTTCCCGTTTCGATATCTTCCCTTTGCTAATTATTAAAGTATAATCTCCTAATGGTTTACTTTTCCATTCTGCTGTAAGGAAAATTTTTATTTTTGTAATGTCTCTGTCTCTCTTTTTCTATGTGTGTGTATGTATGTATAGGAAGATAATTGTCAGAAAAAATATTTATTCATCGTTACTGACGAGCTTAGAAGGGGGGGGGGGGAAAATAATGGATGATGAAACAAAAACAAAATAATTGGGAAAACCGGGGGGGTGTTAAACTGCAGCTGGTTTGTTAGGCAATTCCACATATTCAGCCGCTTTTTTAAATTTATTTCTGAGTGAATAAAAATTTTTAAAAATAATAATAATAAAAGTGTAACAATGGCAACATGGAATTACAAAATCTAGAATAGGTAGATTCAGCTATACAAAATATTAACCAAAAGTTGGCATATAAATATTTTATTTGTAACAAAGAAAAGTGTCCTGCTGTTTGAATCTTATTTCAAATGGGTCAAAAAGTTACGTAAAAATTTCAAAAACTGCCATTAACAAAATTTTGTCAACATAGCGACAATCCAGATAATCTGACATACATTTTCCTTCCAGCTTACAGCACGTTTTCATATCTGTGGCTGCAAATATTGCGAGCGCGCAGCACTTAGTGCACGCTGCTCTCAGATTGCGACCAATTACGACATGCATACTTTGCAGCTGTTTTGTTGTCATACTCCGTTGCCTACCAACCACCGAATTGTTAAATCGCTATGCCTTAGTTGTTCAAATCCCGGCAAACGGGCTTGCTGTATGGGAATTTTTGTAATTTGCTCTGTGTATAACCCAGATACAAGCAAGTATCCCTTAGAAAGTGCTCTACGAAAACATTCGCCTCTTGAGGCCAATAGTCCTTACGTGTTTTGCTGTAACCCAATCCAATCTACATACTCGATCACCCTTAAAAATTTCGTGTCGATTGTCGTCGGGGAGACAGATATCTTTCATAATGAATGTACTAGCTTCAGTGCCATCTAATTCCTTGATGTGTTAATATTATCTTTTATGATAATAACAGCCAAACATTAGCGTTGCTAATTAATGTGGAATCTGAAATGAAGCAATCGTTAAACCATTTACAGACCTTACTGACTGAACGATATCTGCAGATTTTTTTTTTTTTTTTTTTTTTTTTTTTTTTGTAGAAAGTGATTCAAACTCTGTGTTCGTTTTCTATCTTGGTTACAGAATTTTCAAGATACTTGAGGAAAAAATTTGTGTTAATCCGTAGTTATTGATAATAAGTTTTTACACTTAAATCTTCCCTTGTTCTTAAAAGGTTACTATTTTATTCGAAGTTTCTGCTGGGCCTTTTCTTTGAGGTAACTATTTTCAAAAGTAGTCCAGGTAAATCAAGGAATACCTAATGATTATTTCAGAGATTTTCTTCCAATGTATGAATGTTGGGCTCTTTTTGCTTCCACCCTCACCATCTTTGGAATGGCCTATCACGCAATTCTGTACTTCCGTTCGACACTTTTTAATAATTTCTGATTTTTGATTCCGTGCGTGAAATGCTTTCAATAGTCATTTTCCACGAGTATCAAATTAATTCATCGATATTACTTCAATTCTTGTGATATGTCACAGTTTACCTCTGCTGCCGATCAAGCGCGTAACGTTATCTTCTACAAGTCGTGCTAGTATTTTCCTCGATTAAACTGCATTCTTGCGTTGTAATTCGTAATCCTCTTTTTCGTTAATTTTTATTACTAATACTAGGTACATATACATCATAATTCTGAGTAAAAATATTTGCGGTGAATGCTACATAGGTTCAAAACCGAGTTCGAAACGTTACGGAGGTTATAATTTTGAATTAATGGCGAGTGTACAGAATGGTAAACGAAATTAGATAACAAGTTCTTGGATTAAAAGTTTACAAATACCGACTAGATAAAATTCATTCCGTTAGTAAACATTGTTCTCCTTGCCCACTGTTGAAAATGAATGGAAACAGAGTTTGCCAAATGTTTTATCATTGCTAATGATGTATATAATTGTTCTGAAAGATGTAGTAATGGAAATTCTGTTAATAGTTCTGTTCATCTGGTAATGAAATAATAACAAATATAATTATTTACAGTTTATTAATAATTATAATTAAATCTAGTATATATGGCAGCAGCGAAATCGAGATCTATTTTTGCAAGCAGAAAAAAGACCGGGAGAGTTTTTTTAAAAAAAAAAAGGGGGGGGGGGAAACTTTCGGTAGTTGAGATGACTAACATTATTATTGGGGGGGCCTGTAAAATATTAACTTTTGTGTATTTTTATCTATTTTAATATAATATTTTTAAATATTATATTAAAAAGTGTTTATTATTTTAATTATATTAAAAGTGTTTATTATTTTAAGTTTAAATCTGAAATGCAGATCTGTATAAATTAGCAAAACAAAACATTCAAATTTTTTCTTTTCATGATCTGCATTTTGAAGGGGTTCACTAAATTAAAAAAAAAAAAAAAAATTAATAAATGAATAAAAACAATCCTGGTAACGGAAAATTCTATACTATTATACTATAATCGTAATAGCCAGAATTATAAGATGTGGACTTAATATTCGACATTTCTTGAATTTTTTTGTTCACAAACAAGCATTTGTTGGTTTCGCGAATGACTCATTGGCCATATGAAATACTTTCTCTCTAATTTCTTCCACTCTTCGATTGTCTGGTTTCCTTGCATAAGACTGCTGTAATTCTAAGTTATTTGTCAAAAATTTTATTCCCACTTCAGGGTGAGGGGACTTTATCAGTTTTTATTAAATGTGAAAGAATTTTTGATGTATTCAGAATGTATTTACACCGCTAGGGCGCATTATCCAAGGATATTCTTCTCCTTTACTGCAAGACCTCCCCCCCCAATCCAAAAAAAAGGAACTATTTTTATCTATTCTAAAATACACTACAAAGTCTTTAATTCGGACTCGTCGGGACTTCGTCGATTATGGATTACGGGTTTTTCCGGATTATAGCTCATCAATTTAAATCTGGTAAGATGGCATGCAGAAATTATAAAATTAAAAATATGAAACCGTAATTTATGAAATAAAGAGCAATTATGATCTAAAGGGTATCAAAATGTACAAAAAAAAAAAAAAGCTTAATGTTTATTTGTTTACTTTATTAAACGTTTCTTTCAACGCGCGCATGCGTAAAGCATACATTACGCATAGTCGAAATTAGAAAATTGCAACCAGAAAACTATTTGATGTGTATTCGTGATATTTATAATGACGAGGAATTTGATTTAAATCATATCAAAGACGGAGTACATCGAGATGAAATACTACATTTATTAAGGAATTATAAGACGAATAAAATAAAAACATCTGTCCTGAAGATGAGGATAGTGCTGACAGATCAACTTCCGCGCGCTGCGACGTTCCCTCCCCGGCAGAGCAGCGTGAAATTGATAAACAGATTTCGGAATGGTTAGAGAAACAAAGGTTATGAATTTATCAATTTTTGGCAGCAATTCCACTTTTTGTTTGATGGACATCGAAACATGTTTTCGCTTTGTAGATCCTTTGGCAGCTTCAGAATTGGAAATTCTTTCTGACATAATCGAATGTTCAAGCTTACTCTTCATAAAATTGCTCTAACAGTCTGCAAATTGAATTGTGCATTTTTTGCTTTAAAATGGGAGTTTAATTATGTTGTTTTTATGTTCTGGTTAAGGTTTTCATGCCTTTAGTTAATCTGCATGCAATAGTTGTAGAATTATCAGCAATTTAAGTAAGTGGACTAGGCCTTCATGCATCTAAGTTTCTCGTCTAGTTGCTATTCTAAATTTCTTTTCACTCTTTTTTTTTTTTTTTTTTTTAATATGTGTGTGTGTGTGTGAAATTTGTAGTAATCTATCACATAAATCGAATATTTTTTTTAAAAAATGGTGCATTCCTTTTAGAATGCTCTATATTGTATTATTACTTTTTTTTTTATTTTAGCTATTTATTTTTTAGCATATTTAAGTAATGTATTACTTTTTTCCCACAGGAATTTGCTACATTAACAAAAGAATTAAATCAGGCCCGGGAACAATTATTAGAAAAAGAAGAAGAAATACAAGAGCTCAAAGCTGAAAGAAATAATACTAGGGTAATTTTTTACATAATTTTAATATTTGTATTCAGTTTTTTAAAATTAATGTAATGTTACTTGAATGTTCATTTATGCTTTTCTCAAGCATGTTGTAAACAAATCTTTCTGCTATTTAGATTTAAGTATTGTTTTGTATAATTTAAAAAAATTTCTCTCCTGATATAGTTGCTTTTGGAACATTTGGAGTGCCTTGTGTCACGTCATGAACGTTCCTTAAGGATGACTGTGGTTAAAAGACAAGCACAGTCACCTGCTGGTGTTTCATCAGAAGTTGAAGTTCTTAAAGCCCTAAAGTCCCTTTTTGAACATCACAAAGCTTTAGATGAAAAAGTAATTAATTAATTTGTTAGCCTGTAAATAAAAATTGGTTATTAATAAAAATAAATTTGTAATTATTTTATGTTGTCTAAATGTTGTGTAGAGGTAGCTTAAAAAAATCCAGAAATGGAGGGGAATTAGTACAAAGATTTCTTTCCCCTTTGAATGGTGGGACTGTTTTGATCAAATCTCAAATTTTTTTTGCCATTTTGCCAGAATATTTACCTTCTAATTTTCTTTATTTTATAGATATCATCTTAAAAAACAATTTATTATGAAAACAAACAGTAGAATGTGTAACTGTGTAAATTTAGCAAATAAATGTTGCCTAACTACAGTTCTTTGTAAGAGGATTCAAATAGCTTTGCTTACCCCGTTTAAAATGTATTGCTGAAAGCTGTGCAGTAAAGTCTTAAGGGGGTTTTATTATTTTATTTTTCAGGGAGGGATTTTACAGTAACTTGCTATACTTTTAAACTGTATAAAGATAAAGTAATAAAATAATACAACAGATTATTGAATTTTCTTATGCTTAATATTTTGGCAGACTATATTAATTGCATGAAAATTGTCATGGCTTTCCCTGTTTGCAGTATTAACATCCTGAAAATATGTTTTATAATTCTTTATTTATCTTTAATAGAATTTAATATCCATTTTTATTACATAGAAGAGTAGTAATTAATATATAAGTTAAATAGATCTCAGTGTTTCATGATAACTTTATAATAATATATGATGGCATTTACTGAAAAATTCAAGATATGCTATTTGATTTTATATTTGTATTAATTAGTCACTAAGTTTTTACATATCTAAAAAATGGATATTCAGATTTATTTCAGCATTTGTTATCTATTTGCCATTTGTGAATCTTGATAATAAGTAAGTAAAGATTCATAGAATTGAAAAACAAACTTTGATTTTTGCTATATTGCTAGTGGAAATTGTGTATAATTTTGATTGTGATAATGACCAACCATAAATAAAAAAGGAATTTGTGTTTCATAGAGAGCATTTCAAGAGGGAATGTTGAATATGTATGCTTTCTGTCATTGTGTAATTTTTGCAAGGGGATCTCCGTGTCTGTCGTTCTTTCTTCCCCCAAGAAATCTTGAACCCTCATACTTCTAATAGAAAATTATAAACAGAATTTTCTAGCTTTTTCAAAAGTGTCTTAAATAGATTTTTTAATGGGGAAGAAACAGAAATGAGTAATATAGCTATATAAATTTAATCCAAAGTATTTGCTTTTTTTAAATGCACATGTGAAGTTAGTTTTCCATTTTACTTGACTAAATCATATACTTATTTTTACAGGTCCGGGAGCGCTTACGAGTTGCTTTAGATCGAGTAACTACCTTAGAAGAAGAACTCAGTAAGGCAAATGAAGAGGTACTATCTCTGTTTTTTAGTTTTCTTGTTTTAAATTTATACTATTTTAATGCTTACTTATTTCTACATTTTTTTTTAAACCAATAGCTTAATCAGTATAAAACCAAAGGAGTAGCTTTAGAATTAAAAGAAGAAAGGAAACCTGCTAATGGGGAAGAAGCTTCTCATATTTCAAAGGTAATTTAAGATTTCTTTTGTAAAAACTGTGAATGAAGTGCTATAAAATGTTCAAATTCTTAAAAGGCCATTGTAATTTTTTTATTTTTTTATTATTATTTTTTGTGTGTTTGTGTGTGTGTGTGTGTGTGTGTGTGTGTGTGCGTGCGTGCGTGTGCGTCTGTGTGTAACTCTTGTATGGGCACCTTTGAAAAAACACCTTCTAAGCCCACTGTTTACACTAATATCTTGCAGAAATGTTTTTACTTAATTTTTTACATCTTGATACAGTGTAAGAGAAGAAATTGGAAATTTAAAGTATCATTTACATTTACAAACTGAATTTAAAGTGGCTTCTGAGTGGAATCTGAATTTTTGAGCAAAAAGGCAGTTTAAGTGATTCAAATATGGTGACAAATGTATTGATCTCAAAACAGTGTCGAAATCCACTTGTGCATAGATTCTTTTTGATAGGAAGCAGTGAATAAAAAAGGCTGAGATATGTTATATTTCAATAAGCGTGTATTTCAGGATTGCTTTGCTTATTATGAAATATTGTGATACTAACCTAATAATTTATACGATAATCTGGCTTCTTAATAAATAATCACATGAGAAAATATTGATATTATTATCACTTTTTAAAATGTTATGCATGTTAAGCATGTTTCCTCTGCAGCTATCACCAAATTTACCAGCTGTAGAATGTTAACCAAAGTAGCATTTTTATTGTGCTAAACCTGCATGAGAGTATTATTGCCGGTAAAGTGTTTCAGATTCATTAGCATGATTTTGTAATTATGCTAATGAATCTTCTGCTTCTGCACATAGGTAGTTTTCCTATTGGAATGCATCACTAAAAGCGAAATAGGTAATACAGATTGCCATGCATCTCTTTGTGATCAGCCAATCAGCTTCCTCCTCACTGTCAGAAAGAGTAACAGACAATCAGTTGAGGTAAGGAGTGGTCTGTGTAACTTCTGTAGAGTATTCACACCTGAATTTGAGTTTGCGTGTTTAAGCCAGAGTGGTTGCTATAATTTTGTAAAGTGTTGAGATAACACCTCAGTTAGAAACATTTAAACCTCTGGTTCTTTCTTTCAACTATATTGGATTAATATTCATAAATATTTCTGTACATATAAGTCATGTAAATAGGCAATAAAATGGTTAAAATAATGGATGCATCTAGAGGGTCACACTTCTTGCAATCCTATCATCCACCATGTACATGTACAGATTCATAGGGTACTCATAATCAGAGGTACTTTTACGGTCAACTGAAGATGTGCAAGATATCCCATACTGCCCCCTTTAAAAAAGTGCATGGCGGACAATAATTTGATATCCTTTAGTCAATATGGTTTCTGCTGGGGTATAATATGTGTTTCATTACAATTATCTTCTGACTCATGAAGGTATTGGTGAATCTATTTGCCTTCTGGCATGGTGTAGTTGAACTGAATTAATTACAAAGTATATTGTGAAACTGATTGAACATTGCTAGCTATCTATATCTAATTTTAAATGGTTCTCAGTGTTTTCATCCTGAAGCAAGACATTAATTTCATTATACAGTGTTTGAATTTTAGCCACTAAAAATGCTATGCTGTGGTTTCTTGTTCAGTTCTGAGATGATTATACTTGGTTTAATGCTCATTATAGGTCAATTAAATATATCATGAAATGGTATATCAGAGCTGACCTAAATTTACATTACATGGAGTGCATCTATTTTTTGTGGATGAAGATGCAAAGAGTCGACCAAATTTTGTATCAAGTTTGTTTATTTGTTAGCCATATTCAAGATATACGTGGACTATAACTATGGAACAGTCATGCCATATTTCACAAAAGACTTCCCTGCACCCTTGAGAGAAAAAGAAACATTTATAGTAAGAGCGTTGTTCTTCATAAATAGTGTACTGAAATTTTGTTTCCGTTCTTACCAACATTAAATCATTTGAAAAATCATTTATTTTTTATACCTATTTTAACCCTCTGAGTGGCCAGGGCTTTTGCTAAGAAAACACAAATTTCCCGTATATATATACGGCCTTGCCGCTTAGAGGGTTAAATAAAGTAAATTTCATTTTTTATACTTGTTTATGCAACAATTTTAATATTTACAAATTATTATTAATTGCTTCATATATACAAAGCTCTAGTTTCTCATATTATTCATTTCATTTTTTTCTGTTTGCATTTAATTCTTATTAAGCATAGTAAATATTATAGTTGCTAGAAAATGTATTCATTTGTTGTCAGATCCACAAGTTGTAATGATATATATGTTTTTCGCTATTATTTCTTTACATCTCTATAAACTGAACATAATGTTTTTTAAGTATTGTTTAGACATCCTCCCAAACTTTGATATTTATATTATAGCAAAATGTATCTTTTTTAAGGTTTCCAATGGAACAGCAGAGGCTGCTGCTGAAGCAGCCCATGTTGTTGAGCTGCAAGAAACCATTGAAAAAATAAATTCTGAATTAAATACATCACGTAATAAAATTTCTGAACTTAGTGCCAAAATTAGGGAGCAAGAAGAAGGTGTGTCTGCTGCTCAAAAAGAAATTTCTAGGCTTCAGGAAGAAAATTCTAGGCTAGCTAGAGACTTAAAAGAAGTAAGATTGTCATAACAAAAACTTTATTTAAATATTTAGCAAAAAAAAAAAAAAAAAAAAAAAAAAGGATTTTTATATAGTTGCTTAATTATTGTTAATATGTGTAAAATATTTAACTGAAAATTTATTGCAAAGTTACTTAAATATTTTGCTTTTAAAAAAAACTGATTTTCTATTGTTAGCCATAAATTTGTGTGTAAATGAATATTTTTAGTTTATTATAATGTTCCTTTTTGGGGTTCTTTTTCGGTTTGGGTAAAGAAAAACTCACGGTTTTTCATATTTCTAGGTTGGCAGAAAGGATGCCTTGTGATGGTTTCTGTCATGGGTAAAAACTGATTTGCTTTTGTTAGCCATAGATTTGTGTGTAAATTTATATTTTTAAGGACATTGTAATGTTCCTTTTTGGGGTTCTTTTTTGGTTTGGGTAGAGAGAAACTCGCGGTTTTTCATATTTCAGGGTTGGCAGCTTTGATGCCTTGTGATGGTTTCTGTCTTGGAAATAGTGGTTGACTTTCTTCAAGTATGGACACTATTGTAAAGGTGCTTCAGTTGCCAATAAAAATGCTGATGTAGTCTGTACCTCAAAATGGTTACCTAGCCCTAATTTAAGAAAAATAAGTATAATTTTCATGAATTCCATATCTCAGATGTCTGAACCACAAGGAGAGAAAAATTTATAAAATATGGTCTTAGGTTATTTCGATTACACGAAACATATGAGGGACTATCTATCTAAAAGGAAGGGTGCCCTCCATAGAAAACTTCTTATGGAAAATTGGCTCGTTTGGGTAAAACCACGAAAAATCCCATTCAGTTAGCCCATTTCCCAGTTCTTGAACCCATGTGGACTATTGGTGTTTACCACTCTTACTACTGAGCTGCTGGTTAGGCTACATGTAAAAAAAAAAAAAAAAAAAAAAAAGACAGATTACAGTGATGAAATTAACCCTCTTATTACGTAATTAATCAAGTACTGTTGATCGAAGTTGTCAGAATCCACTGACATATGCAGGTTCTATTTATATCACTGGTTTAAAAAACAAGAACAAAATTAATTTACCTTTTCTGATGCATCGTTGAATCTGACGTGATGTTTCAGCTGGCAATCTTCTTTACAGAATAACCACAATTATATTTTCTTGACATCGCATTTTATTTACATAAAACATTCAAAAGGAAAAAAAATTAATATTTAAATACATTTTCTAGTACAGCCTCTACTTTTCTCTCATGGCTGTACAAATCAATTTATCCATCCATCACACGGATTCAAAACCGAACTATCTACTGTTTCCAAAAAAGAATGAAAAAAAAAAAAAAAAACAAGATTTTAATTTCTCTTACTAATGGAACCTCTGGCATCCTCTAGCAGGAGAAAGCCACTTTAGATGAACATTTAACACCTCTAATACCCACCACGAGAAATTTCCAAACAAAAAATTATTCATTAGTTAAGAGAGTGTTATTTTGTGTGAAATAAAACAAACATGGGGGAAAATTGTGAAAAAGAAAGTTTTTTTTAATGGTAGCAAATACGTTACCATGGGCAGATTAAGGTACAAATCAAGTGATTTTCAAAATTTTCAAACACATTTTTTTTTTTTTTAGGTTTCGTTTAGTTTATTTACAGTTATTTACAAATGATAAGCTCTAAAGCAGTTTCTGTCCTTGTTGAAATAAAGATATTTTCCACATTTATCTCATTTAACTTGAGTAAATATTCCTCTAGGTCATATGTGGCATCTTTGCCGTATGGTATGATACACTGGCCAGTGATGCACACCATCAGTTCTTTGATCCTAAAAGTAATAAATTGAAAAACAAATATTTAAGGTTACAATATTTATATCTATGTTTGCATAAATATATATGTTTGCATATTATTTACCTCTGGTGGTTCATGTGATCGAACCTTTTTTTTTCACTGGAGCTTTTGGACTGTCTAGAGAACGTCTACCTACTTTCTTTTTGCCTACTGTGATAAGGCTAGTAGTCAATTCATTGAAAAAGTTGCAAAAGCAGACATGTTTGCTCTTCAGCTGGTACAATGTCGTTGATACAAAAGCTATAAATTAGTTGTTGCCATAGAAATTGTATGCCAAAATATATACATATACCATTGATTTGTTTTTATGGGATACTTGTATTTGAATGACATCATGCCATTTAAAGAAAACCCCTCCTGTTTTTCTGTTATAGGAAGGAATAAGTGCCGAGCATTATATTTCGATATCGCTGTTTGTTGATTTTTTTTTTCCTTCTCAGAGTAGTCAGAGGTTCCATGCCTAGAGTATTTGATACCAAAGTGCATCTACTATCGTACTATTTTACAGCTATGATATCTCCGTTCTTTACAGATGCTACAGAATAATCAATGGATCTCCTGCCTTCTTTTTTCAACTCCTTCTTTTTCTTTAATTTGCATTTCATCAGCCTGTTTTCTCACAAAGTTCCAACAAATCCTATACTTTTCTTTGATATTCACATACTAATGGGATTCCAGAGAAAAAGTTATCCGCAAAGATAGTAATTTTTGTTAGGTGATGTATAGTGCTGCATAACTGCTTCACAACACCTGCTCCTAGACATAATGCATAAGCAGTTTGATCCCCACAGTAACCTTCAGATTTTCCAGTGTAAAACATCAGAATTGTAATAAATGCCTGATTGTCCACACCGGGCCCATATTTTTAAACCCCATTTGCTATGAGGTTTTTAGGCATATATTGTTTGATGTGGATTCTCCCTCGAAATGGAATCATTTTTTCATCAATAGACTGTTTGGTCTCATCTGAAATGGATAGCATGTTTTTTCGAAGTCTAGACAACCATGATCGCGCCTTCCAAGATTTGTCACTTCTAACATCAATTTTTGAATTATCTGCAATATGCGAAAATCTTAAGATTTTTTTAAATCTGTTTCTAGGCATTACTTCTGAAATTGGCTCATGCTTCATTCCCTCTTCCCAATATCATCTAATATGAGGTATACGGACTAATCCCATTCTGATAATCATTCTTATTACTTGCTCTATTTCATTTGCCGTCACCATAAACGAAGTTCCTATTTGTTGAAACACTATACAGATTTGTTTGTTCAGCTAATAATTTTATCATATCTGTTGATATGACAATCTGAAAATATGCAAGAGAAAATGGAAGAGATTCTGTAGGATCAGGAAAGTTATCATCATTTGATGAAAGCATAAGGTTAGGTTCTTTTTTCCCTCCAGAGAATTTTTAAATTTAGCTCTTGTGTAGATAGACATTTTCTTCAATATTTGATGCATTTTGGTCATTTTCTACATCTTCATTATGATCTTCATCATCTGAGCTTTCTTCATGGAAGATATCAGACCTTTGTGTAGGCATATATTCATCATCAGAGTCGTCATCAGATATATGGATAAATCACTTTCCAAAGCATTCATATATGCTATATGCAATGGCATCTTCTGTTCCCCCCCTTCTTACTCTGTGGAAAAAAAACCTGAAGTGCTGGCTGAAAAAAATTCAAAATTCCGAAAATTTTATTAAATTATTTTTTAAAATTTCATTCAATAAATAAAATGCAAGTATATTAAAAAGAACTTGAGATTTATAGAGGATTAAATTATTTTTCATTTAAATCAAAATAAAATATTTTTTAATTGAAAAATATCAAAATTTAAATATATAAATTGTATTTAACGATATATTTTCTATAAAATTACAAAGATTAAAGATCATGAACTAATTTCAATGTAAAAACATTTTCTTCAGAGAACTGCTAGGCTTAGATACGCAAATGCCCATGGTATTTAAAAGTACATTTTATCATTAAAAACGATAATTTTGTAAACATTATTTTATACTGTGTGATACACTAACTCTTTTACTTTGTGATCATATTATTAGTAATTATTAACTGTTTTATTATTAAAATGTTTGTAAAATAAACAAACAACTTACACCTGAAAAGGTGCTTGCATTGTTTGCTACATCCATGCTTCTTCTAATTTTTTTCCTTTAAGCTGGTGCTGCTATGTATGCCTAAAATTTGTTAATAATATATGAGGAAAGTTCAATTTATAAATTTATGACATAAAAATTACATTTCATGGCGTTCCTGCTATAAAAACGTGGCGTTTAAAATATATGGTACATGGGCATTAGAGGGTTAAAAATTAAGTTTCATGCCATAACACATAATTCTTGCATGAAGGTACACAGAACATAGGAACATAACTAATTTAATTTATCATAACAGAATGAAAATTTAGTTTCAACAGTGTAATTTATTCAATTTCAAAACATGTTTCTAGCCAACAGAAAGTTGCCTATTGTCGATCTGCCACTTCATAATTACAGGCATGACTAATGTTTTCTTTGCTTTTCCTTCAGCCTACAGTTACTACTCTGATTTCATTCAAAGCCTGTTAATATACAATAATGCTAGGAAGCATATCATGAACTTTTTTAGAATTCTTTGTAGACATAATGCATGTATCCAAAAGGGAAGATTTTGAAGGTTGAAACCTTAAAAACATGCCAAAGTTGCACTTCTGCCTTCTATCAGCTGGTATTCAGGAAAAAACACTCACTCATTTACAATGCTTCTAGAGGATTATTTTTGGTACTCTTAAGCTAAGGAAATTCTGTCCCTCTGAGCACTAGAGCAGACAAGGAATTCTAAATACAGTATCTCACAGATAAGGAACCTGAAGTTAGAAAATATTTTGTCAACCTCATTTTAATAAAGAATCAAATACCTGAACAATTAAAAAACCACAGTTCATAGCAAGTTAAATGGATGAACTACAGATAACTATGATTGTTACAAATAGGATATTGTGGCAGACTTTTATATATATATATCCCTGAGAAAATAAGGAAATTTAAATATTATTTATCTATGTGTATATGAAATTTTATGTATTGTGTATGAAATCATACAAAATACGTATGTATTGTTCTTCCTGTCATACATATTAGTAATAAACTTTATGACATAATTCTAGCTTTTCCAGTGTTAATGTATAATCACCTGTAAATTAAGAGAATTTTGCAGATAATTTCAAAATTTTATATATGGCTTTCATTTAACATTGAATTGGCTTTTATGCAGAATAATGCCCAAAAAGAAGATCAAGAAGAAAGGATATCGACTTTAGAAAAGCGGTATTTGAATGCACAGCGGGAATCAACATCCTTACATGATTTGAATGAAAAATTAGAGCAAGAACTATCTAATAAAGAAGCTCAATTAAAACTGGTATGCATGCTTTTTTGTACTGTATTGAAGAATTAATTGGTGTTATTATATATTCAGAATGCATAATTTGAATTTCACTTGGTAATTTTCAGTTATTCTCAGTTATATGTGTTTATCTATCTATATATATATCAATAAAAGGAACATCTTTCTAAGCATTAATTTCTATTTCCTGTGGTTTACTTTTTTTTAACTTGTGATCATTTAGCGTATCATTTTTACACACTGCTTTTTCTTTTGTTACTCAATAAAGCATTTCATAATGACATTTAGAAGTACACATACTTTAAAGATTTTGCTGCGGAATTGTCTAGAAGCTGTGGCTATTATTCTGGAGTTTTGTATTTTGTTAAAGCAAAAATTTTTTGAAATCGCTGTGCAAGGAAGTTAAGTAAACCACACAACTCTGTAGCATATGGGAGCATTCCTATGATGATATAGCTCTCACAGTTGTCTGAGACAAAATGTTAAAGTTATTAGCTTTGGGATTAAGAGTATAAGCAATCAGAAAAGGTATAGTTATGCAAGAATAAATGTGCAGCTGACTCAGCAGAATTATTGACTAAATGTCAGTTCATGTTTGCTTTGCTGTGCTTGCCAGTTCTTACACTGTCCTTGTATATAAGTTAAAAAGTTACAAAATTTAGAAAAAAATTCATATACCGCTTTGACATAAACAAGGTCTGATTTCCTAGCAAGGGAAGTTAGGCTTATTAGTTATTAGTTGTTAGTTATTAGTTATTAGTTATTACTTATTAGTTGTTAGGCGATTCTGTCTGTAAAGCCATCATCTGAATGCTCCATAAGAGGCTGTCAATAGGAATCCAAATTTGTATGTTAAGAATTAATTTAACAGCATTCTTTCTGACCTCATTTTGGTTCATTTACACTTTGTGTTTTGAAGAAGAAATGTCTGTCAAAAGAGACAGAGTATGTTACCAGAAATAGTGATCGATTGATCGAGCCAAGTCTATATGGAATAGATGAATAGAAATCAACAAGTTTATTTACTAAGTGGAATAGATGGATAGAAATCAATGAGTTTATTTACTAAGTGGAAAAAAAAAAAAAAAAGAGTGTTTGGGGATTGTTACTGGGACAGTGATTTTTGTTGGCATTTATTGCAAAGTAAGATAGTGCTTCTTAAAAATGGTTCAAAAACAAAAATGGAGGATTTTTACTTTTATTGCTTACAGACAGCATAACAGAGATCAGTAACGCATGTTGAATACTCAAAATTATTCAGTGACAGAAAACAGATATAAATGCAAATGGCAATAAGAATATTTATTCTTTAGTTACCAAAAATGTTCACATGTAATGTAACTAAAATGTGTTTTATATGAAATATTAAATAAATTCATCTGTATCATATGAGTATTTTTCTAACAAACTGTTCTTTTTATGTATTTTAAGTCTGTAAGTGTATCGTACATCATTTCAAAATATATTGATTATATATCCAAATGTATTGTTTGAAGTATAGAAGTATTAGAAGTAGGTATGTCATTCACCATCTTAAAAAATTATGTAACAACCTTTTTTCCAAAATGTGAGGGGTTTTATGGTTTCTTTTTACAGTCATCTTTTAGGGCCCATTAATGCCTTTGCAGTTTTTTAAATTGTTTGCTATTCCAAGTTTTATGTAAAATATGATTTGTTATAAAAGGACATTAAGTAATAATGTTGTGATCCACCCTTTTTTTCTTGATGTCTAAATCATGTGTTATTGTGGCTGAAAAAGAGATGCCATTGAGGATTTTAAGAGAAACTAGATAATGTAGGGTTTTAATGGAAGTTTCCCGACACCACAAATATCATATATCTGCACAAAGATTTCATGTTGGCATGTTTAATCATATTTTGTCAAATGACTTTTGGCATTTGAAAGAAAGGGACTTAGTTTAGAACACTGGATTGTGAAATTTGTAAAATTATATCGTTATCATTAATTACAAGGTATCTGGAAATGGATCTTGTGCTACCAGATTAGAACCATCATTTACTTCCAATTCTGTTGCAAAAAATGAGCTACAGAATGTTACCAAATCATGTGTACAGCTTTAGGAACTAATGTTGTATCATATGACACCATGAAGGTTTGGTATCCAAAAGTTAAAAACAAGGATTATGACATTCAAGAAGCAGAGCAGTCTGGTCAGCCTACATAACTCTGAAATTGTTAAGAGGGCTTTTTGTGATTAGTGCAATAAAAAGCCAACTCTGTAGATTGATGTATATGCAAATATCAGCAGTATGATGTCAAAGGGCTTGTCAGGACACGGAAAACATGAGGAGTCAACACACACAAGCCTTCCAAACAACACATACAGGTGTAAGAAAAGTTGGTGATGGTCAGCAAAGAGAAACAGTGGTGACTGATGATCAACATATTGCCCTGCAGGTTAAAATAGATCAAAACCATATAACAAGCAATATTGCTCAGTGGTTGCACATGACAATCGGACAGCATGTGCTCCAATTTACTGTGGCCAGATGACTTCATAAAGGTGGTCTGTTTGCTTGCTATTCCGAACGCTGCATACCATTGACAGCAGCCCATTGGCGTCACCATTTACAGTAGTGTAGAGAGCACAAACACTGAGCATCTCATCAGTGGAGTCATATCCTCTTTATTGATGAGAGTCAGTCAGACAAATTATTCTCTGTGCCATTTCATTTGATATAGAGAGAGATTATGAACAGGCTTTCATCCCACGAATATCAGGGAAAGAGACTTCGGGTGGTCTTGCTGTGCTTGTATGAAGAGGCAGTATGCTGAATGGATGGCCAGTGTTCCCCATTTTCGAAAGACATTTACTTATGAGAGATAGTCACTGTGATGTTGTTATCCTCCCCCACATGCATCTTTTCCAGAGTGCCATTGTTCACGACTTTCTTTTTAAGGATGACAATGCACAGCCACACGGGAATCGTGCTGTTGAGGAGATCCTGGGAAGTGAAGATATCTACGGAATAGATTGGCCAGCATGCTCCACTGATTTGAATCTCATTGAACATGACTTGAATATTTTAGAAAGATGCCGGACAGCACAATTGTACCCTCCGGAGAACACAGACAATAAAAAAATGCTCCTTGAAGAATAGGAACTCATACTCCAAAAACTGTTAGATAACCTGTTCTGTTTAGTATTGACAGACTCTGCAGTGCAACAATTGCAGTTAGGGGAAGTGATATCCTTTACTATCTTTGGTTTGTTGTTCTTCCATTTAGACAGTTTCTTGTATAAACACCATTTTGTCAATGAAGCCTTTTTCTGTTTATTCCATACTGTATGCATCCTATTTATTAATTTTGCTATTGTACTTTCATCTTCCTTTAAGCACTGCATTATGACTCTGTAATATAAATTTCATGTCACCCAATTGATTTTTTTTTTTGGAATTTTGTTTATTTATTAATTTTGGTGAAGTTATGGCCAAAATCTGAAAAGTTGCTTCAATTTTGCATGCTGGTGTATGTGTATCCTATACAGTCAAAAGTCGTTAATTCGGACACCCATAATTCGGAATGATCTATAATCCGGACCTCAAAACCAAAAACTTTCTGCGCATGCGCGGCGTTGGACACATGCGCATAGCGTTTACGGTGCGCGTAAGACCTTTTACGACTGCGCATATGAGGTGCGAAGTGAGAATACGTTTTGCATGAGCGTTTATGTCAATGACGTATAGCGAAAATTTCTTATTAATTTCAGTAATGTGATGATTGCGTGTCCTTAATTTTCGATTGGATCCGGCTTATTCTTTTTGCAGACTGTAAGAGCATAGCGAAAGTAAGTTTTGAAATCCAAAATCTGTTTATCAATTTCCACTGCTCGGAGGGGGGAACGGCCGCGCGGTAAGAACTGAGTTGATATGTCAACACTATCCCTATCTTAGGCAGAGTTTTTCTTTTATTTGGTTTATTGAAGATCGCTGTTTTATTTTATTTGCTATATCCTACCAATGTAGATTCATGTCTTTGATCTTTATGATTTTTAAAACAAGTTCCGTAACCGAGGTTATTGAAAACGAAAAAATTTCGATTGAAAATTAGTCGGTGTTCGACACAGCAATTATAGGACTTGAACAGTGGACTTTGTACTGAACAAGAAAATTATGTCTGTTTAATAGAATAAAGAGAAAGTATTATCACATGAAAACGAAGCAACTTAAACAACTTACATTGAAAGAAATGTTTTAAAAAAAAAAATAAATATAAGCTTTTTTTTTGCAAATTTTGATACCTTTAATCAAATGTTCTTTATTTCATAAATTACGGTTTCATTTTAACTTTAGATTTTGCAGCACTACGAGATTTAAACTGATGATCTATAATCCGGAATCACCGAAGTCCCGACGAGTCCGGATTAACGACTTTTGACTGTATTATTAAACTTTCCATCACTGGTGGTTAATTTGCCTTGAGGAGTAGGCAAACTTCCTATATCTTGCTATAGTTTATAATGACAGTACAGTCAGATTTTTTTCTTTGAGCTTTATATTGCAATAAGAATATTTATTTGCTGCATTTGTGATATTTAATTTATTTCTAATATTTAGTCTATACTACATTATTTCTACTAGTGACAGTCAACTAATGCCACAAGACCATATGCAGCTTGCAAATAAGTTAATAAAAATTATTATTATTAATTGCAGATTTCTGCAAGATATTTTTAAGATGACTAAAAAATATAAAAATATATTGTTATACTTTTATGCTTCAGAATTTGAATATCAACAAAATAAATGAAAAGTGACTTTTATGAGTTTTTCTCTGCATGATTGTAAGGATGTATTCTCGAGGCAAGATGAAAAGAAAAAATTTTCTCCCTTCCTCTCAACTTTCATTCATTCTGCCTTTTATATATATGTATGCTTATTTAAGTTTACTTATTTTATTTATTTACCCATAAAAATTTGACTTGCAAAGTAATATTAGTATTATTCAAAATGCATTTTATTTTTGTAGAGTGAAGAAAAATGTAGGGCACTTCAAGAAAGGTTAGAATTAACAGAACAAAAGTTAGCCCAATTTTCTCGAAAAGCTGAAGCTGCAGCTGGTGAAGCATTAGCTCAGGTATTTTCAATATATTATTTTAATATTTATTATTTTCTATTATGGAATGAATTACATAATTATGTTAAATTTTCTTTAGGTCCAAGATAGGCATGGAAGTGTAGAAGATCGAATACAAAGGCTAGAGCAGCAGCTTGAAGAGAAAAACACAGAACTGATAAGAGTATATTGCTTTTGTTCTTATTTTACTATAAGCAAGTGCAGGTATTGAGATTTACATGTACTTAACTTTGCTTTAATTTTCTTTAGTCTAGGCAACGGGAAAAAATGAATGAAGAGCATAATCAGAGGTTATCCTCAACTGTTGACAAGTTACTAGCAGAATCAAATGAACGCCTTCAGTTGCATTTAAAAGAACGAATGCATGCATTGGAAGAAAAAAATTCATTAGCTCAAGAGCTTGAACGAACGAGAAAAGTTTTAGAAGATACTCAGTCAGAAAAGGTATGCGCTTTTGTCAGGTACACAGAGCAAATAGAATATGTCTAAATTTTCTTTTCATTTAATTTTTAATAAAATAATCGTAAGACTTTTGAATTCAGTATTAGTCATTCCAATGTGAAAAATTTGCATGTATTTAAACCCTAGCACTACAAAACAAACAAAAGATCAAAACTGTAAACTTGGAGACCTGCTACATAAAGTAATAGTAAATGCTTCCTTACAAAAATGAACACTTTTCAAATTATAGGTATCTAATCTGTATATTAGATACCTAATCTGTATATAAATAGTGTTCTTATATTCTACTTTGTTGTAATTTATTATCATTTAACTTTTGTGTATAATTTTATTGACATTATTGCAAAAACCAAAAAAATTTCAAGTTCTAATAATGGTGTCATAGTAGCAAAAAGTGATTTAATCGGGAAATTTAAGTCCAGAACCATTTTTAAGATCCTCAGGTCTTCAATAAATTGACTGGTTTTTTTTTTTTTTTTTTTTACTTAAATTTAACATTTTGCATTTTGGGGAAAAATTAAATTAGCAAAATTTATTTGGTTTCTTGTTATCAGTCTTTGCATTTCTTTGTGAATACATTTGCTTTAATTTTCAGGTGTATATTGAAGATTAAAAATAATTAGTAGGACATATATGAGCAATTTCATAATACAAGAAACAAATTCAGAAACATTATTTTTTCTTCTCTTTAATGATCTCTGATGTGTAGTTTGTTTCTGCCATTATTATTTTTTTCTATTGCCTTATGTTACTTATCTTTTAAAAATTTGTTTATAGGATAAAATAATGAATGAATTAGCAAAGTTGAGAAATGAAATGGAAAGCTTAAGACAGGATCACCAAGCATTTAAAGCAGAAAGTTTAGCCAGGTTTGTTGATTGCTTCATTGCACATAGTTACTTTCTTATGTTCACATGGTTTCTTAGTCTCTCTTTCTTTTTTATCAGTAATTACTAATATTTTCATTCAACTTTTGTACATGATATATGTGGTTAATCAGCTAGTAACGTATCGGTATGATTTTAGGTTAAGTTCTAGTCGAACACTTCCACAAACTTCACCTTTACTTCCAACTCGTAGTGCATTATCTCCAGGAGCTGTTGTTACTAGCTCAATATCTCCCAGCCGAACTCCTGCTATCGATACAACAGATGCTTTTCACATGGTATCTGGATTAGATTATATATCTCCTAATGCCTCTATTAATCGAAGGCTGCAAAGAGGAAGACAAGCAGCTCTCGAAGATGATGCAACAAAGGTAAAATGTGTCAGCATGTTCATATTTAAATATTATTTTATTTTGATTATTCATTCATACATACAGTTCAATGGATAGGCCTGCTATATTTTAGTTCATGACTATTAAATTTTATGCTTCTAAAGGGATACATAGTTTGCAGCATGTATAAATTATGGGCCTTAAAATGAGTGCTATGTAAATTGATCATTGTTATAGAAACAATTGTTTTATTTTGTGATATGTATCAAAATATGCAAGGTTAACTTAAAAGAAATATACACATTTGAAGTTTATAGAAACAAGAGATTTATGGCATGGCTGATATATGTAGATTTTAAGAATATGAATCAAAGCTTGCATGGCTAAGTAACAATGTTCTTTGTGTGACCCTTTTGTAACACATCAGATATCAGTGCTATAATTGAATTCTTCATAAATACATCTCAGCATGTCCATATCAGCTGCAGCAGATGTTGTGGGCATATAACCATAATGTGTATGAAATCATTGATACTTGTAAGAAATGGAAGCTTGTAGAAAGGGAAGGAATTAAAACTCAGTTATTAATTATATACTTGCAAAGTGTTGCCTACATGCCTGAGCCTTGATCTGCTCTGTTGAATGGCTAACCCAGCCCTGAGGCAAATTGTCGAGCACTGTAGTTGTATGTAGTTGCTCGGCATATCTTGAGTACTCATATGATGTTGCAATGAAAACAAACAAAAGAGGAAAACTGTAAACTTGGAGACCTCCTACATAAAGTAATAGTAAATGCTTCCTTACAAAAATGAACACTTTTCAAATTATAGGTATCTAATCTGTATATTTTACTTAATTAAACCTGTATAAGTGTCTGCACAGTTAAAAGATTTCTTGTTCTGAATCTCTCTTTCTCGTTTTATTTATTTATTTTTTTAATAGATATAATGCAGATCTATGCCTATAAAGTTATTCCATATTCATCCAATTCCTGCTTTCATCATATACTGATCAAACAAGTAAAATCGTAGGGTTATTTAGTGTTGGTATAAAAATTTAAGCAGTGTGAGTTTGAAAGCCCTAATTAATGTTTTTAGGTTTAGGATTTCATTTTTTGCTCTGAAGCTTGCAAGCTGACATGCCACTGTATATAATGCTTTAGAAATCATTGGTGATTAGAATAACAGTGTATTATTTGAATTCATGCTAGTAATACAGACTAGCTGTACTGTCTTAAGCAATCTCAGGTATAAACACAAGTTTAGTGAGCACACTGAGCTGCAGATTAAGCAGTTAATTATCCTGAACTGTGTATGTGTGTCTTCATATTTTAGCATTATTTAAAATTGTCTCCACATATAATTTTGACTGTTAATTGAATGAAAACAGTTATTCTTATTAAATTTATAAATTATTTTTTCCCTTTATTGTGAAATATATTTCATATTTCACAATGAATGTGATATCAAAAAACCCCAGCCTAAAAGTGCAAAATTTATCTTTCATAAGTTCATAATAAATTTTTCAAATTACATCTGAGATCAATTAAGCCTTTTTTTTTTCCATCAGCTAAAATATTTCTTAAATGTCTGAATGCTGCCTAGGTGTGTTTTTAAAAATATTTTGCTTTTTAGGTCCAAACATTAAATGAGCAAGAATGGGAGAAGATGGAACAAGCTCAAGTTCTTGCAAGCGTCCAACATGCTTTTGAAGCTAGTGATACCGAGTGTAGCCAAATAGATGATAATGAAAGTATATTTGAATCAATGGATATGCTCTCTCCATCTGCTCATACAGATGCCCAAACGCTTGCCCTTATGCTACAAGAGCAGCTAGATGCAATAAATAATGAAATTAGGTTTGTTTGTTTTTTTAACTACTTCACATGCTGTTGTAAGTTTTCTCATGTAATTAATGTGATTGAAAGATAAATTTACATATTATTTGAAGTAGAAATTCCTGATAATTTGTATTGACAAAATTCAGATTATCATCATTAAAGTAGAAATCTCTAATTTCCACCATTTCTTGCTGTATTTTGAATAATTTTTATTTTAATTTTGTCATTATTCTTGTATGTGTTTATTTTTAATAATGAATTTTTAGTCCAAAGAGGCTTTGTTCCTGAAGGTCTATTGTTTTTATTTTTCGATTTTGCATTGAATCACTATAAATGTCTGTTTCACTTTTCAAACTGTTGCCACCAAATGTTAGAGTCCTGCATTATATTTGAAGAAATTAAGTAATGAAAAATCTGATAAATGTATGTATATTTCTCGCATTGTGATAAAACAACGGTCATAGAGCCGAATTTTGAATGACGTAACTCCTACGAAGGGCATTGAGCCCAAATTTGAAATTTGGAATTTGTTTTATTATCGATTTCATATTTTGTAAATCTTGAATGAATTTTTGATTAACAAACTCAAGGGTTTCAAAGCGTGCCATGGCAGCGTTGTACACACACACACAAAAAAAAAAAAAAATTATCTCCAGCGTGTGAGTCTCTGTATCAAAAATTCTGAAGATATGCTCAATTTAAAACTATTTTGTGATATTGCCATTGAAATGAATTTTATGTTTTAAGTGTGAAGAACGTGACATTTAATAAATAAATGTAACAGACAAAAGGTTAAAAAAATGCTCCTTTGGACGTAATTTAAAATCTGAAACCTTGCAGATTTTAAAAAATTTTTTATTGTAAATATTCTTAATTTTTATGCTTGTAGTCTGAATATTAAATTTAAAGGCATGCACTTGTTTAAGAAGTGCGCATTTGCTGGAATTTTCTTTAAAATGATTACTGTGGTTTTAACTGGCTGTTACTGTAAGCCTCGCTTTGCTTAAATGTTATGTGGTGTGCCTTTCTCCATTCCACATATTAATTTGGCTGTATTTTATGTTGCTCTTAATAGTATTGCTGGAACTAATATGTTAAAATCTACCTTTCTGCTTTAAATATTTTGTAAAATTTTATTCTGTTCATTATTTGTTCTATTTTGAATCATTGGGAATGTTCATTATTCATTCTAATTTGAATCAATGGAAAGGAAAAAATTATACTGATTAGAATATATTTGACAGTTTTGCCATTTAAAAAATGGTAGGTCAGTTGAGAATTTCTTTTTTGGCTTCTTGGCTTTTTTCTGTCTGTTATTTAAGTGTAAACTGGTTTTCATCCAGAAGTTTTCCTTGAATTTATCCTTTTTATGATAGATACTTCTCTCATGCTTTAATGAAATTTAAATCCTAAAAATTTCCTTGATATAAAGATTATTTCTTTTGACAGCTTATTCACAAACTGTAATAATGCTGATGAGGACTATTTCTATTCTGAAAATTGTTTAACATTTTTAACTAAGAAGCAAACTATCAATTATAATAAAATAAAGATAGCAAATCTCTGTATAACCTTTCTTGTTAAATGGCTTCCCATCCTCACTAGTTTTGATGCGAATAAAGTCAGCAGAAAACAGAAGCATGCATTGAAAGTTATTGAAAATCTTCTGGGCAGTAATATTTTCCCCTCAATGTTTTGTTTTATATTATTGTCTGTACCACCTTTACCTCCATTTTTTTTCCTCTCTCCATTAAAAGTGCATAGAATAAATATGTGGCCTTTTCTGCTGTATTAATGATAAATGAAAATTAATTTCAAGACTTTAAAAAATTGCATAATTTTTTATTTTATTATTGCATTATTTTGTCATTGTTATCTTTCATTAATGAAAACTTATTCTTCATTACTTTGGTAAGGAAAAATCAAGAAGAATTTAACTGAGTTTAAATAAGAACTTTTCTACCACCTGGTTTGACTCATAACCACGGGAATGTTAGCTACAGCAGATGGTTAAAGTTTTTCTCCACTGCATTTCTATTTAGTGTGTTACCTTATGAAAAACACATTACAAAAATGAAGGCTGACTTGAACTGCAATCTCAGATGAGATGGAGAAAATAAGTGCTGTGTGTTGATGATGACACATGTTATGATTAAACCTAAGGAAGGGTAGCAACAGCCTTGAAAGACATATTTTAAAAAACAGACTACAATATCAATCATTTTAACATTTAAAGTACTTCTAAAAAGCCTAAACTTGATTTCACTGCAAACATTTTGTTATAATATTTATTCCAATAAGAATGTCTTGTTTCTTCTTGGGACGATTAGTTTTGATAATAGCATTTCATTATTAGAACCATAAAGTTTTCTCTGCATTTACAGGCTAATACAGGAAGAAAAACATACCACAGAACAAAGAGCTGAAGAGCTGGAATCAAGGGTTGGTAGCATAGAAACAATAAGCTTGCTGGCAAGAGGACGATCATTTGAAAGAAGTTCCCCACCACAAAGTGGAAGATCAACTCCTAAGTCACACCATAGTCCCCAAAGAGATTACATGCAGAAATATTCAGTAAGTTTGAATTTTTATGTATTTAATATGTTTTTAAATTTATTATGCCAGAGTTAAAATACTTGAAATTAATTACTATGACGCGCTTTTAAAATTATATGATGCATCTTATTAAAGATGGAATTAGTCTTATTAGTATGAAGTTATTTCTATAGTGACATGGTAAATTAAATCAATATAAAATGAACCCATTATGTAATGTAAATGGCGTATAAATTTCAAACACCCAAATATTATATTTGAGGTTTACATTTTATCCGTTCCCTCCCCTTCTCCATAATAATAATAATTCTACAAGTTTATATAAAAATTTCATTTCAGTGTTTCCTGTTTCCATGCAGAAAAGCATGCAAAAATTGTTTTATTTTGATTTAGTACTGATGTTTCAAGACTGATTTTACTCTTTTATTTAACATGTGAAAGCATGGTAAGTAGGACAGTAAGTTTCTCTTGGGGAGAAAAGGCATAATTCATGAGACAGTTGCAGGATAAGCCTTGAAACTTTGCAAAAGTTTAACCACTTATGATTCATACTTATCAGTTTCATGAAATCTTCACAACTGAGAATTAAATTGACACTCCCCTCTGCCCCCTCCCAAACAAATTTGTCTATGGGATAAAAATAATAGTATAAATAATTAGTGCATTACTGTATAAGCATAATGTGTAATTTTTTTTAATGTTACTTGCACTCGTAAGGTGGTAAAATTTTGATAGAATTGTCAATGTCGTGACATGAGATCAAAATTTCCAATTAAATGGATGATCTTTTGATACATTATATTGTACATAACAGAATTTCTTCTTTAATGTTGCATCTGTTCTCCTGTAACAATGGATTGTTTGACATCAATACTCTTTATCAATGTTGAGAGACAGTGGATTGTGGCGTAATGACCATTCTATGTATGTTACATATTTCTTGCGACATTTGGCTAGAGGGCGCTGCGTTCATTCTGATAGTCAGTGGCAGGCAGGATACTAAAAGTGCAGGACATGGAAGCAGAGATGCCTAAAAATATATCTCCAGCTGTTTGAAAATTTTATATACCGTAATTTCTGGAAGAAAGTCCGCATCAGCGTAAACGGCGCACTCGAGAAAAATAGCGGGGAAAAAATTAAAATTACACAGAAACACCGCATCAGCGTAAATGCCGCAATAAATTAAATTGCGATGACATCATGGGGGTATAGATCAAAATCTCAACTAAGTCCTGCTATATGACATACCAGTTAAGAAAAATGCATGAAATGAAACCCTAACTCAGAAATAAATTAAAGGTAAAAATGTGGAAAATATATTTAACTTGTGTGTTATTTATATACCCACTAAAGAAGTCCATATTTGTAATACTCAGACTATTATAAAAAAATGCTGCAACAACCAAAATATAAATTTGGATGACCAAACGAAAATTTTAATTTACTTACAAAAGGAACTACAGAAACTATACATCATATGAAGCCATCAAATCTGATTCTTCACTATCTGAATTAAAAAGATTTAGTAAATCCTGATAAGTCCAAGCCTTAGTTGTCACATTATCCTCGTGGTTACAGTCTCTTTCTAAGGATAATTTCAGATTCTTTGAACCCTTCTTATGATAATGTTTTTCCGATTTCCACCGCACTTTCTACACTGCAACTTCTTCATAAGATGCTTACGCATTTTACCCTTTTGGACATATGCAAAGTAACCAAATGCAATCCTCACTCATCAACCTCCCACTGCTTTCGGACTTCAGCTTTGAAAGATTATTACCTGACAAATTTTTTTCATTTTGTCAAACCACCAGGAATTGTTGTGGTCGAGACAATTTTGACATAGTTTTCACTGACTCAAGTAAATGAACACGCATGGAATCCATATCAATAACCTTTTGGTTGAAAGATCCCATTACGACATGCCAAACTTTGTAGCCACTCATGCATGATTGTTTCGCACATCCAGCCGTTCGTTTGCACAAATAATTACGCATTAGGAAAATCTCCCTTCGTAATAGTCTTTCGTTTAAAAAATGATCATGGCTTTAGCTTGTCACCGTTTGCGGCACAGCTAACGCACATGTAAAGACTTTCTTCATGCCCCGCGTAAGCACAGATACAGTTTTTGCACCAGTTTCACAACAGTTCTGTTCAGGAGAGTCGAAGCTAACAGCGTTTCATCCATATTATTACCTGGACCAAAGAAGTTTTTTTTTTTTTTTTTTTTTTTTTGTCAATAATATTTGTTACATATTTTAGAAAATATGCCTTTTATCCTGCCAGTCCATTGGTAATTGTTGCCTGACTATTGTTCTAGTACGCACAGAAATATTTTTTCTTTTTCATAAATCTGCTACACCAGCAAGGCCCTCATTTTAAATCATTTATGTTCATTTGTTTTTGCTATAAATTTTGCTTGTAAGCGAACTTTTACAGCTGAAATTGCCATTCCCTTTCCTTGGTGCTCCTTTATCCAATTTGCAAGGTCATCCTCTAGATTCGGCCACCTTACAGTACCACTTCTTTTGGCTTTCTTTTCTCTTGTGGCATATTTTTAGGTAGTCCTTTTTCAGTTCTCCAATGTAGAATGCATCTGTCATCCACTTCAAACTTTCGAGCTGCTGCTCGATTTGCAATTTGTTCAGCATGTGAGCTTAAAACCAACAGCATAGCTTCTGTGCCGTTTAGGTGACATTTTCAAAAATTTTCCACTCCCTTCTTACTTAAAAACTATCCAACAAGCACTTGTACCCAAACTAATGGGATCTGTATCTGGCAGAATGCCAAGAAGAATCGATTTATGTTAAAGAGGAAATACGTCAGAGTTCGTTATTGCGAGGCAGGTGGAGTCGTGTTCGCCTTTGAAAAAAATTGCAGAAAAGGCAGGGGTGGGAAGAGGATGGGTCCCGGAAGATTCATTGAATGGCAGAGGAAAGAGACTATTCAAACTGATGAGAATGTTGATTTGAAAGGGAAAAGAATGTTATTGTTCTGAGATCTCGTTTAGGGTGAATAAGGCATGTAGGTCCGTTCGAGGGAAAGAATGTAAACAAAATAACGTTCGCAAAAAGCAACTGAGTGGTCTTTTGTGTGGGAACAGCACCAGTCTATGCACAATGACAAGGCCATCCAAACTATGTACAATGACCATCAGAGGAAATATTTTATTTTTAGTGCACCTAAATGCCACACCTGCTAAAAATTTAAGTTTTAAACACGTAAACGCCGCGGCGTTTCTTCCGGAAATTAAGGTATTTACTTGTGAATAAATGTTATTATTGTTTTCAAGACCTCTTGTTATCTCTTGGATGCACCTTTAGACTTACTAACAAAACCATTAGATGCAAAATTGGTGCATCATGTCCGCGAATGTGGAAAATCAGAAGTAGGATACTTTATTTAGCATTTGGATACGTAACACATTTCTTCATACTGGACTATGATGGTAAGATCTTTTGAATTTACAAATTCTGAGTTAATATGGACAAGCTTTCGAAAATAATTGAAAAGAGAAGTAACGTTTGCACTAGTGTTACTAAACTAGTTAAAAGAGTGCAGAAGCTCGATGAAGCTGCCAAAGATGTAAGTTCATTATCAGAACTACTGGAACTATTAGAAACAAAGGAGCAGATTTTAAAAAGCCATGATTTAGAAGTGGATGCACTCACAGATGAGTCGGAAAAATTGAAAAGGGAATTAAAAGGTTCAGAAGAATACAATGACAAAATATTGTCTGCTAAGATTAAACTAAAGAGCAAAATTTAAGAATTAGCAGCAGAAAATGTTCAGCAGACTTCTTCAGTTCTTGACACATCTAGAGTTTCGAAAAATACCATTATGTCTTTAAAATTACCAAAGTTAGAAATTTCGCGGTTCTCTGGTGGTTCTAACAAATTTATGGAATTCTTAAACTATTTTGACAGTGCAAGCGGTTCAAATAATTCTCTTAAAAAAATCAGAAAATTCCAGTATTTAAAATCCCTTCTTTCTAGTCCTGCATATAATGTTGTTGCGGGTTTTGAATTAAATGAGAAAAACTATGACTCATGGCTTGAGCTTTTAAAACAAAGGTATGGTAGAACTGATTCCATTTTAAACCCTTACATGACTAAATTATTAAGCTTAGAACCCATGAGAAGCTCATCTAATGTTAAGGGTTTACGCAAACTATACAATGAATTAGAAGTTAATATAAGAAATTTGAGTTCATTAAATGTGACAGAGGGTTTATATGGGCATTTATTGAATCCAATATTATTGAAGTTGTTACCACAAGATTTGGTGTTAGATTTTCACCGGAAACTAAACAGGGAAGTAAATTGTGAGGTTTCAGAAATTATTACGTTTTTGAGGAATGAAGTGGAACCTGGGGAAATTGCCGAAACTGTGATGAGCCCGCCAAAAGTTACAAAACGATCCTTTTCTCAAAATTATCATAACGGTCAAACTTATCAACAAAAATTATTCGAAGCCTAAAAATATATCAACCACTTCAGCTTTAAATACACAAATAAAAAATGTTTGCTTATTCTGTGACGGTCATCGCGATTCTGTAAGTTGCAAAAAGTCATATGTAGAACAAAAAATAAATTAAGCTAAAGATTGAAGGTAGGTGCTGGTGTTGCTTTAAAAATTATGACATGTCTCGCGAATGTAAGGCAGAAATATCGTGTAAAAATTGTTTAAGCAAATTTCGTCATGAGTCAGTTTGTAGAAAAAATAACCCTGTTAATGCTACGATGAGAGGTTGTGAGAAGCAAGTGGAAAGCAAAACTGATTTGAATGACTCACAATCTAAATCTAATAAAAATGCCAAGAGTATTTCTGTGTCTCATAGTAATGAATGTACCAAGAATAAGCCCTTTTTACAAACACATACAGTTTTAGCCTGTTCGGATAAAAAATTGGTCTTATCTAATGTTATTTTAGATAATGGTAGTCATCGAAGTTTTATTTCATCTCGATTAGTTAAAGAATTAAAATTAAAGCCAGTACAGTACAAAAGAATAGCCATTTTTGCGTTCGGAGACAAAATACCACAGGAGAAAGAATAGGCATTGACATTGCACAATAGGGATCAAATTTCAAAATCATACGAGTTAGAAGAGTTGGAAGCTGTCAAAACAGAATATATATCCTATTTGTACTTGCAAATTCCTGATTGTTTTATTCGTAGAACATTGAAGGAACGGGGATTACCTTTGGCTAATTCATATTCTGCCAACTGTTGGATGGAAATATTTATCGGATGCGATTTATTTTTGGAATTTTGTGTCTTAATTATTTTGGGATGTTTTTGAGAGAGTAAAGTGAAAGGAAAACATTACTGCCATAAATTCTTATTTCGGCTGGTTACTAGCAAGAGTGGAAGGAAGTAATAAACTGACTAATGATTATGAAAACGTATGTTTAGTTATGGAGTCTTCTTCTATTTTGTGCGATTTGAAAAAATTTGGGGAAATAGAAGAATTTCAGTCAGACAAACAAAACTTTTCTGAATAAGACAATCAATTGATTGAAAAATTTGAAAATTCTCTGGGATTTAATAGGGAAAGGTACATTTGCAGACTGATGTGGAAGGAAAATAAATTCTAATTATGAGGTTGCAAAAAAGCATTTTGATTCATTAAAGCACAAACTAAATAAAAATCAAGAAACTTATGACTAGTATAAACAAATTAAAAACTAAACTCAGTGGCGTAACAGCCCTAATGGGCCAAGTCCTGCAGTGCCCGAAAATCTGCTTTCTTGACCATGGGCCCCGGGAAGTGTAAGCATATGCCCTGAACAAGTGGTCAGCTTGTCGCAGGACCCCCAGTATTTAATTCCTAAGCGAACTTGCTACTTATTTTATCGACCCAAGTGATGGAAACCATTGGACAAAAGGTTGAGGCGCCTTGCCCAGCCCAAGAATTGAACCCCGGACCTGTGGTGCTGCTGCGTGATGCGCTAGCCACTGCGCCACCGGGCCTCAGTATAAACAAATTGTATTGGATAAATTAGAATGTCAGATTGTGGGAAAATGCGTTAATGAAGATAAAAATTCAGGATATTATATGCCCCACAGAGTGGTAATTAGGGATGACAGGAAAAACACTTGAGTTAGAATTGTTATGACTGTAGCAGTAAGACTAATGAAAATAATAAATCTCTTAAGAGTCTCTAGAATCGAGAATACTTTTGCAAATTTATTGGACATTTGTAATTTTGGGAAAACCAAGTTGCGTTTTCTGGAGGTTTAGAGAAGCTTTTCTTATGTAAATTGCAGGGAAAGATAGAAAATATCTTAAATTTTTGTGTTCAAAAGGAGGTATTCACCGAAATCTTCATTTAATCTCTCCTTCGGTTTAACAACTTGCCATTTTCCTGGCTTGCATTTTGAAAATTTCACATTAAGAAATTTAAAACATCATCCAAAATGTTGTATGAATGTTAATTCTTTCTTTATGGTGTGTGTGTTGTAGAGCCAATAACATTGCAAATTTTATGTATTTTACTTGTAAATAAATGTTGCTATTGTTTATAAAACCACTTGTTACCTCTTGGATGCACCTTTAGACTCACAGAACCATTAGATGCAAAAGTGTATTCCTGAAATCTAGGCCACCACTTTAGCTACTCTGAATTTTTGTCCATTCATTTTATAAGAATGAAATTCACATTTTAATTATCCTGTGTTTTTAAATACAGGAATATGGTTAAAAATGGAAATATTTTAAAAAATACTCTTCTTTATCTTAAAGGATTTAAATTCACCAAAATCTAATGCCGTACTTGTTTTGTAGAAATCTGAGACTGCTGACAGAATCACTATTATTATCATATTAAATTTTTCTCTAGAAAGGGAATAAAGCTCATTTTCCAATAACATGATCACATGATTAACTTCTGCTAAGAAGGGTGTTAGTTTCTTCTAACATTTGATAATGTATTTTGTGAACATATGTTAATATTTGTGAATATATGCTTTTCAAAATAATATGCAATGCTTGATTACTAGGATACAAAATTGACTGCAGTAGTTGCTGGGGGCTACAGACTGCACTGGAATCCCTTACAGAATATAGAGAAGTACCATAATTGCTATGAAAAGAATCATCAGAAGAAAAAACAATTACTTAACTAATTACAAATCAGCTAGTAAAATATTAAAACCTGAAAATACTTCCTCTGAACAGTTTAGGAATTGTATGATAGCTATGACATTCCTCATTATTTGACTTTATTTAGGATCTTGAAGATTTGGGATTGATTGAGAGAGATGCTTGCATCTAGTTTGAGAGGTAATGACCTGCCATTTGAATAAAGAATTCTGTTTTTTATTACTATAATAGATTTCCTATTTTTAATTCTATCGTACATGGATGGCTCTGTTGAAAATGCAACCAAAAATGCAGAAGATAATGCTTACTCGAGTAGTTTTGGTATTCGTTACCCTATTGGGAAATTTTACAATAATTTTGACTGAAGGATAACAGCTATCCCCTTACAGTTGATAAATGTGCTTTAGGCTTGAGCCAGACTTGGAATTTTTGTAGAATGAAGCAATAATTAAGTCTCTTATTGTTTCTAGTTATAACACTGATTAAATTAAACTGTCATAAGATTTAGAAAATGTTGTTGTTCTGGATTCTAAAGACATTGTGAGATCTCAAATATCTCACCTTGATCTTCCATTACCACTGCAAAGCATTAAGTTATTTGTTTCCTCTAAAATTAAAGAAATAGTTGACACATAAGGATTCATGTAAAAATGAAATCCGAAACATATTACTTGACAGAAATAAGCGCATCCTCAATGCCTTGCCTAGGACTGTAGGAGTTGTATGTTTCAGGTTAATCACTGAACATGACTATCTACAAAGATATTTAAATTTCATAGAAGAAACTGCAATTTGTTCCCTATGTCAGCAGAATGATGTAAATTGAGAATTTCAAGAACTATATTGAATGTCCAAGTTATCAATTGTATTTTTAGACAATTCCTTGGAAGTGAATTTTGGTTTTAATGACATTTTCACTCTTTGAACTTCTACTGAGCTATTGTCATTGACAGAGATGTTAGTGATGAGTACAGGACTTAGTTTCTTTTTCCTCAAGTAATATAATGTATTCCTTGCAGTATGCATTTTTATTCTTGTAAATTATATGCATTTTTTACAAAATTAATTGTAAATAATATGTTTCTTATTTTAATTTTATATTTATATTCCTGTGAGAATGAAAGTATTATCTTCAAGTTATTAGTAATGTCTGTTTCTATTAGACTATTAGTGACAGTAAAGAAGAAAATAGAATACTATTAAGAAGGGATCCAAGTCCACCTACACCCCGCTCTGTGCGGTTGGAAAGAGTGGCCAGAGCATTGGCTGAAAGTTCCGAAGAGTTAAGAAGGTTAGTTATTTATACCTAAAAATTATTTTGATTTCCATAAGTCAACAAAGTAAAATTGTATTGTAATCTTAGTTATTAAATCATTAAAAATCATTCTGGAAAATTTTTTATATTTATCCTCATAATAAAAAGAAAACATACTTAGTTATCTTAGGTCTGGAACAAGTTCTTGAAAACCTGCCATTGTAGTATTCTAACAAAAATAATGTTTAAAAATTCAAATGTGTTTTCAGATTTTTGATTTGAGGAAATTTAAATGGCTTGTGCGTAAAATAATTTCCTGGCCTATGTTTAATTGCTTTAAAGTATAATTTCATCAAATTAAGTTTACTAAATAACAAGCATAATAGCTTTTCCCCCCTCATTTTGCAATATTTTGCTATTTTGTCTCTAAAAAATTTTATTTTATTAATTAATACTTTTATCTTGCTTTTTAGGAAGTGCATTTTTGTAACTAATTTATTCATACTGCTGATCAGACTTCTTTTATATATTGCTTTTTGGTATTACCAAATTTCTCATTTTAATAACATTAATGCTGCTTTGCTTATCGCATTTTTCTAGAAGCGTCGGTTATAGCATTCCACATTCTTCTGCTGCCATGACATCCATCTCATCTCCCATGCCTGTTACTTCTCAAGACTTGTTTCTAGGGTACCCTTTTTAATTTTCCCCATACTAACTGCATCTATAAAACTGTGTATTCGTCTGAAATCTTGAAAGCCAGCTCTTTTCAAAATTTTGACTTATTTCATTAAGATTATTTCATTTCCATCCTTGCATGAAATATATATAAAATTAAATAGCATTGGCATTTTGTTTTGCTCTTTATTGTAGTGTAAATTAATGTGTTTTATGTAAAATATGTATTTTTGTTGTTTCATTTAAGGTTCTTTTTCCCATTTGTTATTGAATTAGTGCAAAATCTTTCCTTGCATTTTGTAACTTGTGCTTTCGAAAATGAATAGTGTGTAATAAGTAGCTAATATACAGAGGCTGTTCACACATTTTTAGACGATGTATATTGTATTCACAAAACTAAATTACATAAAATTCTTGTGTTTTAAATGTTCTATTGACATTCCTTATTCGGAACTATCTTTCGACATCGCATTTCCCGGATAATAATGCCTTTTGAAGTGCAGAAGAGTTATTTCCCATCCTCTAACAGCTTCCGAGTCCATTAGGGTTTTGGGCACCGTTTGGATAATGCAGTTTTTAAAAGTCCAAAGCACAAAAATCCATAGGTGACCATCGGGAGATTTTTAGTAGGGATATCAGTGGAAGGGTATGGCCTTGATACCATTTTTTGTTTCCATTTCTTTTAGAAAATTTACAGTGGATTTTTGATGTGTGACTGCTAGCTTTGTCCCTGATGGAGTCTCACAGATTGATGGCAAAAATATGTTCCTGATATTTGGAGTTAATCTTGACATTTTTTTTTGCACTCTCTTTATTTTAACTTGCCTTATAAGAAAAACCAGCAACAATCATGAATCCCTTAGAAAAACTTTCTTCGATTATTTGAACCATGTACTTAAATTTTTTTTCTCCCCTTTTATGATAATAAATGGCTCTTTTTTTTGTTACAATCATTTAAATACACCCATGCTTCATCTATGGTGACAATTGTTTTCCATTTTTCTTTGGATAAGTGTTTCTCGTATAGAATTCTGCAGGGTGTCATGCATTGAGCGATATGCTTTGGAAGAAGATGATGCTGGATACTTGGTTGGAATTTTTGTCCCACTTGAGGCTTGTTTGGAATTTTTGTCCTGCTTGAGTTAAGATTTAAATCAACGTTTATCATTTTGTTTACAGTGGACACCAAGCATTTTAATGATTTTGCAACTGTCCTTTGACTAGGGGGATTTTCATTTTACATTAAACAACGTATCTTTGCAATAGTCGAAGATGTCCGTTTTTTCCTTGGATACTTGTTTGAAATTTTTGTCCCACTTGAGGCTCTAATTCAACATTTTTTTCCTTTCTTGTTGATGATATTACCTATCGACGCTTTAGATATCACAAAACCATGACTCTCACATTGTTTTTGGATAACAGAGTATTCATATTTCTCTTCGGAAAGAGCGTAAATGTACCCTTCGAAGCATTGCTTTTTTAAATTCGCCATTTTGAATAAAAACAAAACTTTCAAGCCACAAACGATAATTTTGACTTTTGAAAACATAGTACAATTGCAATTACTTTTTTTGCAGGAAATGATTTTTTATTACTGCTTACCAAAATCGTCTAAAAAATGTGCGAACAGCCTCTGTATATGCAGTCGAATCCCGATATAATGAGCAAACTATTCAGTCCCACCCAATTTCCTATGTATTTAATGTTATTTTATACTGCTATAGCAAACCTCCAGAGGTATAAAAAGTGGATATAATGAACTGTATGGATATGTTCACTTGAAATTTTTATGCGTTTTTCATATTTTTTTCCCTGAATGCCGGCAAATTTTAATGAAAAAAATATTAATCATTTGCATTGGGATATTAGATTCACTTTCCTCACTCATCCATAAAGGAAAGAACCTCTATGCTATTTTTCTTTTCTATTTTTGGTACAAATGACTCAAACACACATGCAGTACTTTTTCATTATGTGCACATACATCCCAAAATTTGTGGCAGATGCATAACAGAAAAGTAACTGGTCTCTTATCTTCACCACACTTTTCCCTGTGTTCTAAGCAAAGGCTTTGCAAGACAGGTGTGAGCCCAGTTTTAGGTCAACAATTACACTTTCTAAGGACACCATATGGTGTTAATGATCATTAACACAAACAACATGAATGGGTTCTGTGATTCCATTCAAATGTGGTGCTATGATGTAAAATTTGAAATTTTCGCTATTGAGGAAGAGAGAAAGTAGTGAATCAAATGGATGGGGGTATACAATTAGTTCCCCTTTTAGGGAAGGAAATTTTGATCCTAATTGATTTGTTTGTTTTGTTTGAGTATAAATGCTCTTCAAATTATGTCTTTCAAATAAGGGTTTTACATTCTTTAGGTCTTTTCCAAGACATAGTATATTTATAAAAATTATTGAATCTTTGCTTTGAACCCACGCATAAAATTTTCCTGTAAATCTACATTATGTTCTGCAGCAGAAAATTAGATTCTTTTTTGTACTCAAAAATTACGTTAAAGGTAACTGTTAACATCTTTTTATTATTATAATTATTCATTTTTGTGTTTTTATATTTTAATAGATAAAGTAATTATTCATAGTTATAAATGGATAATTCAGGAGAAGAATCAGAATTATGAGATATATAATAAATAATTTATTGTGTAATATTTTTCATATGTAGTGAAACTGGAAAAGAACAACTGACAAATTTAATAATTGCATGTAATAAATAATTGTAATCAAATATTATAATTTTTTTAATTAGATTTATTATTCAGTTCTTTTGAAAAACTGGCAATGTTAGCCTACCTAATTATTATCATCCATTTTTTATTATTATCATCCATTTTTGCACTTTCTTGAGAGATAACCTGTTTTTCCCCCTTGAAGTTCATTATCACGAGGTTCGACTGTATTAGAATTTAAAGATTGATTGAAAAATTGTTTCACTTAAATAGCAATCTAATAAATCTCAAATTTTGAAAAGTTTTCAATCATCCTAAGAAATACTGTCATATATATCTGTATAAGTAGTATTTATCTATATCATTCCAAGAGCTTTAGCTTAAAATGTTTTAGAGAGAATTGGGTATGAAAGTTATTCCTTAGTTATGGCTTTAACTTTTTACTTCTCTTACTAGTTTATCAACCACTATTTAATACATTGTATTTCTTTCAGACAATAAACATTCAATCCAGTTATCTGGGTGTAACGAAAGTTTTCCGCCAAAAAAACATTCTTGACGAAGTTTTGGGGGGGGAAATGAGAAAGCAATACCTTTAACACAGGTAGTAATCACCACCCAAATCTATAAATTTCTCCCAACATTTTGGTAGTCTTTCAAAGCCTTTGACCCAGAAACTTGGTAGTCACAAGTCCAAGAACAGATCAACTTCATTTCGAGCATCCTGTGCAGAGTGGAAGATAGCACCAGCAAGATGCAGGTGTGAAAAAAGGTACAAGTCCGAAAAAGTGATGTCAGGGCTATGTAGTGGGAGTCGGAAAAGATACCATTCGAGTCCATACAGAGTCCAGCCAGTGAATGACATGTGGTCTTTCATTATCTTGATTGAACATTACCTTTTTATGCCTAAACTCAGTTCGACATTTTTCCTTGACAACAGTGTCAGTATGGACTAGCATCTCACTGTACACTTTACTATCGAGGGTTTAACCTTTTCTCATATACTCTTTGTGGATGATACTGTGGCGATCCCACCAGATACAAAGCATGGTCTTTTTGTTAGTCAAATTTCACTTTGCAGTTCTACTGATGAGCTCAACAGGCACAGTCCAATCCCCTTTTCAGCCTGTGTTGTTGAAGTAAATAGACTTTTCATCGCAAGTGACGATCAAGTCCAGAAGTTTGTACGTGTCTGTCTTTATCTGCTTGAGTCAGCTCATGCAGCGCCCATCAATTGAACTTGCATGTCAAGTTTACACAATGCATAGCACGGCTAATGGACATGGCACTGAAGTCTAACTCCTTAGCAAACTCTCAAGTGGTTGCATACTGATCTTCTTCTACGAGTTCTCACAGGCGGGCCTCATCAACATCAGTAGGTTGCCCAGAACATTCCGCTTCTTGAATGTCTAGTCCTTGTTTTTGAACTTTTGGTACCAAACCTTTACGGTGTCATACGATAGAACATTAGGTACTTAAAGCTGTACACATAATTTGGTGACATTCTGTAGCTGACTTTTTGCAACAGAACTTTAATTAAATTATGGTTCTAATTCGGTTGTGTGATAGTTCCATTTCAGACACATTGTACTTAATAATAACATTTTTTTTTTTTTTTTTTTTACAAATTTCACAACATAGTGTTCTAAAGCAAGTCTCTTTCTTTCAAATATCAAAAATCGTTTGACAAAATACGATTATACATGTCAACACAAACTGTTTGCGCAGATGATATTTGCCATGGTGGGAAACTTCCATTAGAAGCTGATACTTAGATTATAATTGATTACTCTGAAGGGTTCGTCAATGATTAAATGAGCGCAATGAGCTGGAAGTTGATCTGTCAGCACTATCCTTATCTTCAGGGCAGATGTTTTTATTTTATTTGGCTTATAATTCCTTACTTAATGTAGTATTTCATCTCATTGTACTCCATCTTTGATATGATTTAAATCAAATTCCTTGTCATTATAAATATCACGAATACACATCAAATAGTTTTCTGGTTGCAATATTTTAATTTCGGCTATGTAATGTATGCTTTATGCATGCACACGCGTTGAAAGAAATGTTTAATAAAGTAAACAAATAAATACAAAGCTTTTTTATTTTAAATTTTGATACCCTTTAGATCATAATTGCTCTTTATTTCATAAATTACGGTTTCATACTTTTAATTTTATAATTTCTACATGCCATCTTACCAGGTTTAAATTGATGATCTATAATCCGGAATCGCTGAAGTCGTGACGAGTCCGGATTAAAGACTTTTAACTGTATAATGAAAATCAGTAACCTATTTTTAAACTCCATTTGTTATTCTGATAACCTTTTATTTCACATTTAAATTAGAGAAAACATGGTAATGTTTTATTTATTTAATTTCTTATTTTATCATTGAAAAAATTCCTTAATTTCACTCTTTCAAAGTGTGCTTGTATTCAGCTTTTAATTCTTAATAATAAATAGGTATTAATGATATTTGGAAAAGATATGTTTTGGATTTCCTGATTACAATCAAATTTCTTTTTGTCTCTCAGTATAAACAAGGATGAAAAAAAGTTCATGCAAATAAGAATTTATTCTGATGCGAATTTATTAATTTAAAGTAATTAAATAGAGTTAAAATTCAGTGTAATTAAATCAAAATAGCAACATTGTAAAAAAACCGCAGTATTACAGATTATTTAAAATTTATCCTGGCATTAAGATTTGTTTGCTCCTTATGAATTATAAGTCACTTTCTCACATTTAATTTTATCCTGGCATAAAGATTTGCTTGCTCCTTATGAATTATAAGTCATTTTCGTACATTTCCTTTTCAATTTAGATATTAATTTCTCTCTGTCCATTTGTTTTCCAATTTTAGGGTCTTTATAACATCCCCCCTCCTTCAAAGAACCATGAATTTCAGATTTGCACATAGCCAATTTGGGAAAAAATGAAATTCGTGCTACATCATGTAGCAATATTTAAATTTAAGGGATAGGAAAGCATCTTTGAAGAACTGATTTTTACTGTTTAAATGGGTTTAAAAAATAAACAGAGACTGTAATCAAATTTATACTGTAGTTATTTTTTCATATTTATTATGTGTTATAAGTAGCAATTTTAGACTTCCTGATTTGTTAAAGTGCATGAGCAGAGCTTTTTTCCCCCCTGTCTAAAGTTAGACTTCCCATTTTGAAAAAAATAATCCTGGCAACTGTAGATTAATTTTGGATACTAGTTTATCTTTGTTTTTTGTTGCATTTAGCATATAATTTAATTTGCTGCTGCAAGCTTTGGTAGCCTTTCATTTTATTTTGTTTTTTTTTTATGCCATGGCTTCTTATTTCCCTATTTAGTTATCCTGATTTGGTCCCCGAAATGTCCCATTCCCGGCTATTGCTTGATGGGGCCTCCCATAGTTCCCCTTCCTCCTCTCATAGTTCTACATCTGAAGATTCTTTGCATAGGACTCCTCAGAAGAAAAAAGGTTTGAAGTCCTCCTTAGGAAGGCTATTCAGTAAAAAAGATAAGGTCAAAGTTAAAGAAGGTTATGGTGTCACATCTCCAGGTAATTAAATATATCTTTCTGTATCTTAATTTAAAATATTGAAAGGTTGATAGATGTGTATAGAAAAAAATTAAACACAGTTGTTAAATTAATGTGGGAAGATTTAACAATTTCTATACCTATAGAAATCCAATTCTTTAATATATTATGCTGTTTTAACTATTTGTGTTGTAATTTTCTCTACTTTTTCAACCAAGTGGTGGTAATTAATGAGCACTGAATTGTTAAAGCATTCTATCCAATATACCAGAAATTAGATATTTGAATTTTGCATAAACTTCAGCAATGCACACATTCAGCTTAATTGAGAAACCTTGCCTCTCTCACACACACTTCCAAAAAGGAGAAGTAACCAAAAGGTTGTTATGTGGCTAGAAGAGCCAGGAAGCTAATATTCTTTGATTAAATTTGTGTTCTAATATACAGGGTGTCTCAAAAGATCGTTGCCAAACTTAACTTGCTGTTCTGTCATACCATGACAAACAAATTAACATAGGAACTTGTGTCCAAAAATGTGAATGGTGTAGCTATAAGGCAATGTTCACAGATGTAGAGGAGAAGAAAGAAAGGATGTTAGAAAAGGTATTAATATGACATTTATTAAAGAAAATGGTTGATTCATAGAAGATGTTCAAAATTCCTTCCATTCGCTAAATTTCATGCTTCACAACATTGACATGTGTATTCGTGGACCTGTTCAAAATGGACAGGTGTGTGCCACTGCTGTCGCGATGCTGACAATGAGATCAGTGTCCAATGTTACGGTCACCTTGTACATCATGGACTTTATGTATCCCCCACAGGCCTAAATCCAGAGGAGTCAAGTCAGGGAGTCACAGTGGCCATGTGACTGGTCAGTCAATGCCAATCCAGCAATCAAAGTATGTCTGTCCTATTGAGGTATTCCTACATGAGGTGCTGCTAAAATGTGCAGGAGCTCTATCATGCTGAAACCAATATTTCGAAGTGTAGCTGCTATGGGACGTCAGTCATCAGATCCGGCAACACTCTTTGCACAAAATGCCCATAAAAAACTGAGTTAGTAAAGTGATTCATTCTTCTCCTGAAATGATCACATTTCCCACTAGGTGTCCGCCGATAACATCGCGGCAAAAACATCACGGACGAAAACGTCGCGGAGAAAACAACGCAAGTTCTAAAGCATCATGGTACAAACATCGTCGTCGAAAATAAAGCGGTTAAAAAACTTTGCAGTTTAAAAACATCGTCGTCGAAAATATCGTGGTAAAAAATAAAGTGTCTACAAATCATCGCATGACGATAACATCGCAGACATGCTTTTTTCAGGTTTTAATAATTGTAAATGCATATTCCCATAATGATTTGTGAGCGCAAGATGTGAAGAAGGATAATTTTTACTTTTACATTTTTTTATTAATTAATCAATTTTTGCTTAAAGTAAGAAGGAAACTTAAGCATAGAAAATTAAATGCAACTTATAGATTATACTTTTCATGAAAAATTACCAGTAAAAACTTTATAAAAATGATTTATTAATGGCCTTTTTTAGTTAACTATGTTGCTTTAAAATTCTATTAAGTGCTATAAGTTGCATTAATTTTCTATGCTTAAGTTTTATTATTTTCTCAGCAAAAATTATTAGTTTATAAAAGAATGTTAAAGAAAAATTATCCTTCTTCACATCTTGCGCTCACAAATTATTATCGGAATATTCATTTATAATTATTAAAACCTGAAAAAGGCATGTCTGCGATGTTATCGTTATGCGATGATTTGTAGATACTTTATTTTTTACCACGATATTTTCGACGGCGATGTTTTTAAACTGCGATGTTTTCTCCCACGATGTTTTGTAGCACGACGTTTTTGCCTTGCGTTGTTTTCTCCGCGATGTTTTCGGCTGTAACCGCTGCTGGGACGTCAGTCAGAAGATCCGGCAACACTCTTTGCACAAAATGCCCATAAAGAACTGAGTAAACCGATTCATTCTTCTCCTGAAATGATCACATTTCCCACTCTCCCATAACCCTATGAACATCTCTAGTGATTGCTGTTCACATTTTTTCACACAAGTTTCTATGTAAATCTTGTTTGTCATGGTATGATAGACCAGCATGGTAATGGCCTTTTCAGACATCCTGTATATGTTTACTTGTATATGTTCCTGTATATGTTCATGCCCAGTATTAGTATTGCGAATGTGTTTTATTTGTGACAAGAGCACACATTCCCAAAAATCATGAAAAATGAACGTCATGGCATGCACATGTAAATAAATGGCCTGAAAAGTATTTGAAACAAAATTTCATTATGTAATAGATAAAAGGATTAGTTGTGATAGTTTGAGTATCAGTTGTTTTATGTAAAGAAATTGTGATTGAGGCTTAAAAGGGGACTAAAGTAGAAAATTTCCAGTCTTTCTCTGCTTGTAGTAAATAATTTTCATTCAAATTTCATAATGTTGTATAGATAGGTAACTTTTATTATGTGCATGATTTTATGATAATCAATCTGACTTATTAGAGTACAAAACAAGCATCATAAATTCTATGAAGTGTTTTCTTTGGCAAATTTTTAAACTTTTATATTAATAAATTTAAATTTTAAAATGAATTTTTAAACTGACATTCTAAAAAGTATTAAATTTATAAAATGTGGCTTGAGTAATGGGGCTTGATAATGCTGAAATTTTCTTTATTTTTTTAATTGCTGTCTAACAGTGTTTAGAAACGATGTGATTCTTTATTTTTTTAATTGCTGTCTTAACAATGTTCAGAAATCATCTTAAGATAATCCTTTTTCATTTCACCGAATTTTAATCTTCTAAATAGTGGTGTATTTTCAAATAGCAGCTATTACTTTAATTAATATTTAACATTATTAACACATTTTGTGTAATATTAATTTCTAAATCATTGACCTTGTTAACATCAAAACCACTTTTATCTGCCCTCAAGACTTCCTCATTTTGTATACATGTAATGATTTAGAGAGGTGTGATGAGAGAAGACCACAGTTTTAACTTTCAGTCATGGCCAGAGTGGGGAAAGACAAAATGGTTATACCAGAGATATAGTTTGAAGCTACTGCATAGTAAATGAAATGGAATTACAGTCAAATGTGCTGAGTTCAATGTGTAATTTATTTAGACACTCTTGAAACATATTTTCAGTTGCATAATAATTTCTTATGCAATATTCTTGATTGGTGCAGCACAGTGGATGCAAACTGCAACCCAAAATTTATAAGAAACATATTTACATTTTTCAATAATTGAGAAGTACAGTGAAGCGAGAGTGCTTATCCTGTGAACATAAATAAAAATTTTTAAATTTAGTTTGAAATTATAGATGTGCATTATACTTGGGAATATATGGTATATTGTTTATCAGACAAATAAATTATTTAAGGAAAAATATTTATTTTTTATATTTTTATTTTATGTTTGATGGAGTTTTAAAATAATCTCTCTGATAAAAAGGGGTCATGAAAGAAAAATGTTTAAAAAGGGCAGAAATAAGCAATAAATTCAGTTTCGGAAAAGCATTCATGGTGTTGGGCTTTTAAAAGGCTATATCTAGCAAAATATTTTTGTTGCCTCTTAATACAGCACCATTAATTATCAACAAGATTTTAATTGCAAAGAAAAATATAATTTATATCAATGATCTCTTAATCATCAGATATGGCATCTTGCAGCCCACATTTTGTACATTACTTCAAAGATACAGTTTTGATGCCATTAAAAACCTCACATCAAAGATGCAGTTTTGATGCCATTAAAAAAAATTGGGAAAATATAATCCATCCTTAAAGGAAAAAAAAAAAAAGAGAGAGAGAGAGAGGGCTTTCCAATTTTTGGTTTCTACAGTAACATACTTATATGTACGAGGGCTATCCAGAAAGTAGATTACGTTTTGGAATAAAAAAATAAACAAAGTATAGGAAACAAATTTTATTATATACAGATGAAAGCCACACTCAAATACTACTTTTCTACATAGTCACCATACAAATTAAGGCATTTATCGTAGCGATGTACGAGCTTGGAAATTCCTTCGTCGAAAAATTCGGCCGCCTGCGCCTTCAACCACTTCGTTACCTCTTCTTGCAGCTGTGCGTCGTCATCAAAACGCTGCATAGCCAGCCACTTCTTCATTGCTGGGAATAGGTGGAAGTCGCTCGGTGCCAGGTCGGGACTGTACGGCGGATGAGGAAACAACTCCCACTTAAAAGATTCAAGAACTTTACGAGTGACATTTGCCGTGTGGGGCCGGGCGTTGTCGTGAATCAACAAGATCTTAGAGCTCAACATTCCTCTGCGCTTGTTTTGAATTGCTCTTCTGAGTTTTTGGAGAGTTTGGCAATACCTTTGAGAGTTTATTGTAGTGCCTCTTTCCAGGAAGTCCACCAAAATTACACCTTTTCTGTCCCAAAAAAACAGTCGCCATCATCTTCCTTGCCGACATTGTTTGCATGCATTTCTTGGGTTTTTGGGGAGAACTTGTGTGCCCCCACTGCATTGATTGCAATTTCGTTTCACAGTTCACATGTTTCACCCATGTTTCGTCACCAGTAACGATGCGATCGAGTAAAGAGTCACCATCCTTATGGTAAGCGTCCAAAAAGTTCAACGCTGCAGCCATTCGCTGATTTTTGTGGTCCTCTGTCAAGATTTTTGGAATCCATCTTGCACAAAACTTGTGGTAACCAAGCTTTTCGCTGATGATTTCGTGCAACAAACTTCGCGAAATTTGTGGAAAACTCAAAGAAAGTTCCGTTATTGTGAAATTTCGATTTTCACGGACTTTAGCATCGACTTTTTCGAGAAGTTCGGCGGTCACTATGCTGGGTCTCCCACTTCGATCTTCGTCGTGAACATTGGTTCGGCCATTTTGAAATCTTATGACCCACTGACGCACTCCACCTTCAGTGATAATGTTGTCCCCATACACTTCACGAAGCTGCCGATAGATTTCTATCGGTTTACAGTTTTTTGCAGTCAGAAACCTTATTACTGAGCGCACCTCGCAGCTCGCGGGATTTTCAATTAACGCAGACATTTCAAACCGTCACAGTATCTGAACGGAGCACAGCACGAACCTCTCACTAGCACGGCTAGATGCAGACTGAGCTGCGCAACGCTCTGACCCCAAGATGGCCGCGCTAGCCCCGCCCCTAGCGGACACAGACGGAAACGTAATCTACTTCCTGGATGGCCCTCGTATATTTAGTCTTACAAGGAATATGTGTTGCAGACTAAACTATAATCAGATTGTTTTCAAGTTTTTATTATTATTATTCTGTCCTAAATATTTGCAGGTGCTCTATGTAAGTGGTGAAATTCAAAAGGTTAATAATTAATGTCTTTTCAGATTTACTTTTCATTGTAATATCATTCTATATTTTTTCCATTTATTTAAGGTGTAACATATGTGGATACTGATGTCACTGTAACTGATTCTGTTGGAATAACTGGAGGAATTGGTCAAAAATCAGATCATGACAGGAGGACGAAGAAAAAGTGAGAGAAATATATTTTGTTCACTTTCTCATGTATTCTCTTTAGTCAAATAATTCTTCTACATTTATGGATATATAACAGTGATGTTATATGTTTGTCCAATTATTATTATTGTTCTATAACTGACATTATTTTTGTTCCAATAGGCATGAGTTATTAGCTGAGGCTATGAAAGCTGGAACTCCATTTGCTCTTTGGAATGGGCCTACGATTGTAGCTTGGCTGGAAGTAAATTATTTTATTATATTTGTCCGGTTATTTAATTATTTTGATTTGGTCCCCAAAATGTCTCATTTCTGGCTATTGCCTGATGGGGCCTTTCATAGTTCCCCTTCCTTCTGTCATAGAAGTCATAGCATCTGAAGTTTCTTTGTGCAGGACTCTTCAAAAGAAAACGATTTTTGTATTATCATTAACTATATCATAACCTTTATTGACAGTAATAATATCTGATTGTAAGACTGAGACATATTTAGAAATAAATTATTTTTATCATGTTTCAAGATTTACTTGAAATGCCATTTGAAAATTTATAAAAATATTATTTTAGAATGACTTCAACTGTTAAGACTTATTTTTCCAAAGGCTAATAATATTAGACTAAAAGTTTTGCCATTTTTTCCACTTACTTGAAGTTAATAAACTGACGCAGAAAGCTTTCTAATATTGAATGCAAATGAAGGTTGTTTGAATGGACTTAAAATCAGTTATTCTTTGTCAAAAGTAGACAGTCAAAGAATTCCTTGATTCTCCTATTGAAATAAATAAATAATTTTTCACAGTGGAATCATCTAGCATGTAATTTCTTTAAACTTTAAATTTCAGTTTAGTATTGAATAGAACAAAATAATTTGCACAACATAAAATTTATTTTATATTATTATTTTTTATGCAACTGATACTTAAAGATCTGTAAGGGGGGAAGTGCAGAATGTGCTATCAAAATATGATTTTTGATGGTCCTGAACATAGCATGTAAAACAAAATTTTACACAATTGCTAATTGGTAAGGAAAAAGTTATGCATTTCTATACATAAATTGTTATAAAATAGCTGATGCAACTATCTTTGCAAATGCTATTTTCTTCGTTACTATCTCTTTACTTTAATAAATTATTTTTGTATTTCAGCTCTGGGTTGGAATGCCTGCTTGGTATGTTGCTGCATGCCGTGCTAATGTCAAGAGTGGTGCAATAATGTCTGCCTTATCTGATACAGAAATACAAAGAGAAATTGGAATAAGTAATCCATTGCATCGCTTAAAATTACGGCTTGCTATCCAAGAAATGGTTGCTCTTACCAGTCCATCTGCTCCAAAACCATCTAGAACAGTATGATTATGTTATTCTCTATGTTATATATATTTGTTTAACTTTCATGCATTGTAACTTAACCTCTGATACGATAGCTGAACTAATCTTTTAATTACATTACTGTTAGGCAAATGAACACCACAGGCTCCATTTTCTCCATTGATTTTTCCCCATTTCTAATGGGAATTTCGTATTTTATATGCTCAACTATTCAGAATTTTCTTGCATCCAGAATTCTGCATTTCTGAAGCTTTCCAGTTAGTCAAGCTTTTACTGTAATTTGCTGAAGCCATTCCATATGAGGCATATCACCCTTTTCTTTGAAACATACAGTTTCTAAATCAGTCTTCCAGAATGAGTTATGCCTAATGATCTTTGACATGCTCCTTTACATTTATAGTGACAAATTAAACAGTATTCAGAGCATTCATTGCAGTAATTTACTATGATTCCAAGGTTTGAATTAAATGAAACATTACTTCTCTTCTGCAATAAACTGTATTGCATGTCAGTCCATGGGTTGAAGGATTGACACCAGCAGAACAGTAGTTGTACTCCTGTAGTGTTCACAGGTAGAAAATTTTTCCCTCTGCTGTGAGTTTTGTTATGTGACTTGAAGAAAATTTAAATAATTTTAATTATTCTGTTTTCGATTCTGTGAAGGGAAAAGTGAATAAGGGTAGGGTTATTGGTAGATAGTTATTAGGCAGATAGATTTATTGGTAGATAGGTTTAATGGTGCCTGAGGAAAAATAGAATAGGAAGAGATTTAGAATAAAGAGATCTATTATAGTTTCTCAGAGTGTAATAGAAGATTCTTCTCATTATTCTGAAGTGCCAGATTGTTTCAGAATTAATGGAGGCTCAGTGTAAAGGATCGAATATTGTTTTATCAATTCGAACTTGATTCACTTCTTTCTGATTCACTCTTAGATTCCTTTCTTATGTTTGTTAGTTCCAGAAAATGTCATTTACAATCTTTCATGTGAATTAAAAAACTGCGTTGGAAGTTTTAACTTGACAAGGTACTTCTTTTGCCTTTTTCATGGATAGAATCCCCCCCCCTTGAAATCTGTTCTCCTAGTCTTCTGTAAAGCTCATGTTTAGGAATTAACAAACAGCCTACTTAACTGAATGGGTTATTTCTCTCAAAGAATTTCAGTCATTGTCTACTACTGATCCAGACCAGCATTCTTTTGTTCTTTAACACAATTAATGAATGCATGATAAGCTACATCGGTGTTCTAACACTGTTTGAAGCTGTCAGTTACATCATCTTCCCTCTCTAGATTTTTTTTTTTTTTTTTCCCTACAAAATTTAAGAGTTAATTTTGAACAAAAATATTAATTTAAAGTTTAATTTGCATTTTCTTTATATGTGGATTGGGATTAATAACTTGGCTTTCTTCACTGTAACTAAATATTCAATGTATTAAATTCACTGAACCCAAAGTTAACTGCATTTTCTAATGCAAAATTATCCAGTTTTTATTTTAATCATAATAATTAGTGAATTTTTTTAGTATAGCATTTCATTAATAATGTAGCTTGTGTCAGATTTAGTGCTCAGCTCCCCTTTTAAAAATAGGTTTATTCTATATAAAAGTTTTATGAGCTTGACTAAAATGTGAGCTCTTGATAGGTTTTTCATTCATTAAATGAAATATTTAATAATAGAGAACCTCTTTGTAATATTAGCAACCTACTCTTAAAGAAGAGCTTTAAATTGAGATGGATTTTTTATAAGATTTACAATGAGCTCTTATGTCTGCCAAAAAAAAAAAAAAATTAATCTGCCAAGAGAAATTTTTCTGCAGAATCATTAAATTGGCATTTGTGGTTTAATATACTGCTTAATACAGTATAAATGAGGCTAACACAAAATTAATATTAACAGAGAATACATCTTTCCAAAAAACAGTTGATCATCATCTTACATTAGTATCATAATGAATGTGTAATATGTTCTTCTGAATAAGGCAGCATGTATATTAAGATTAAAATTCCTCCCTATAAAATTAAATAATAAAAGTTAGAATCATACTGGTTTTGCATGCATATTTAATATATGCAACAAACCTTTGATGTTATTTTAATTTTTTCATACATCAATTTCTTTATGCACTGCCTGGCTCTCCTTAATACTCATGAAATAATATTTTCATGATTCTGTTTGATATAGAGTCATTACTGGGTATTTCATTTATTACAACATAGAAATAAACAGTTATTCAGTTATTACTTTTGGTTGGAATAACACAAAATTTGGTTTCGGAATAGTCTCTATTTAATCATTAAAATTGCATTAGTCATGTAACATGCATTTGATCTTTTATGTGCGTTAATAAATGTGTCTTTTTTCCCCCATCTAAGCTTTGAGTATTATCACTGTTATATATTATTATACTAATCTTATATTTTTAAGTAAACTGATAAGCAGTTTTTCCCCTGATTTGTCTTGTTTGTAAAACTATTAAATGAATCTTTTATTGTTTTGAACAGAGTTTAGCATTTGGAGAAATGAATCATGAATGGATTGGAAATGAGTGGTTGCCGAGCTTAGGTTTAGCCCAGTATCGTTCCACTTTTATGGAATGCCTAGTCGATGCCCGAATGTTAGATCATTTAACAAAGAAAGATCTACGTATGCATTTAAAAATGGTTGATGGTTTCCATAGGTAAACATATAGTTTTAAAATGTAGTTCTAAAGGTTTATTTTCTATGTACTTGAAAGTTATTCATAATTCAATTGTTGGTTCTAGGACTAGTTTACAGTATGGTATTAATTGCTTGAAAAGGCTAAACTATAACAGAGAAGCTTTAGAAGAACGAAGGAAACTTAGTGAGCATGAAATCAAAGGTTGTTGTTATTTTTCATTTAGACTGTTTTCTTTTATTATTATAACTTTCTTTGTATATCTATTTGCATCCTGGTTTTGTTTTCATAATAAAATTACAGAAAGTGTATGCAATTGGTTTCCATTTAGACAAATCTCATTTTATAGAATAAAACACCATGGAATTCAGATACTGAAAACGTTATAATAAAATATACTTTTAAAAACAGTAATATATTTAAAAGTTAGAAATTTGAATGAGGCTGCTATATTAGTATGCAAAATATGTGTTGGCTTATGGGAATAACTATGAATAATAAGTTTTAAAAGTTGCATATGTAAATGTGTAGTGGGTTTCCAATTTATAAAATTTAATTTTAATAATCAGCATACTTTATAAAGTATTCTAATATTTGATAGTTTAATAAAAAAAAGTTTTTAAATGCGTCTTGTTAAGATTTTTTAAAAATATTTTCAGTATTTTGTGTTGTTTTATACAAATTAGACAGTGAACGTTATTAAAAAGAACTGATTCTGTTATTTTTCTTTATTACCTGTACATTTAAATGAAGCCCATATTATAAGCTACTTTTATTTTGGCTGTTATAATACCAAGATGTTTTTCTTATATGTTGAAGAATTTATGTTTGAACACATCTCTAAATTTATACAGAACATTTTTGACATAACAGTAGTGACAACATCCTCCTTAACAAAATTTGTAGTTGTGTTAAATATTCTATAATAAACAAAAAGATCAATGCACCAAGAAGAAGTTGGCCGATGATGACAAAAATTGGTGGATAGGAAGATTATGTACAGAATAGAAAATGATTCAAGTTTCAGAACAATTGGATGATTTATTTCAGAGTTACATGGTTACAAAGTAACGAGCTAAATAAGGTGTTGACCCACCTCTAGCCTGAATGCAAGCTGCCACACAGTGTGGCATAGACTGATAATGCTTCTGGATAGTCTCCAGCAGTATTTCTTGCCAAATTTGCTCCAATTGTCGGGCTAGGTCATCAACATTCCCTGGTAAATGCAGTCGCCTTTCCATCATATCCCAGATGTGCTCAATGGGAGAGAGATCTAGCAATCTGGCTGGCCAAGAAAGTGTTTGACAAGCTGTAAGACAGTTTATAGCAACGCGCATCATATGTGGTCTGGTATTATCCTGCTGAAAAATAAGACCAGGGTACTGCAAAAGAAACGGTAGCGAAACAGGTCTCAATGTTGTTGACATATGAATGTGCTGTAAGTTTGCCTCTAATGATGACCAAAGGGGTCCAGCTATCAAGGGAAATGGCACCCCAGGCCATAACTCTGGGTTGATGGCCTGTGTTGTGTGCAATAGTGAAAGCAGGATCATCACGCTGCTCTGGGCATCTCCAGACACCTCTTTGATGATCATCATAACACAGTTGGAAGCGGGATTCGTCTCTAAAGACTGTACATCCCCATTCAGCATCATTCCAACCTGATCGAGCCAGGCACCACTGCAATCTGGCTCAAGTGTACACAAGCAGATAGACGATTTTACGAGGGGTATGGTGATCGGACTGAGAAGAGCGAGTTGGTCCATACGTTAAATCGCAGCTGATACCCACATAGATGTGAGCACAGTGCATCGGCTATGGCGAACATGGTTGGAACAAGGAAATGTGGGAAGAAGGAGGGTTGCAGGTGCAGCCAGAGTGACATCAGCATGCGTGGATCGACGCATCTGCCGACAAGCTGTGGCAGTCTCGCAAGTCACTTGTATCACGATTCTGCAGCATGTGCAAGATACCCTGGTTGTTCCCGTGTCGACCAGCACCATTTCCCGTCAATTGATTGAACGTGGCCTGCACTCACGGCGTCCGTTAAGAAGACTGCCATTGACCCCACAGCATAGATGCCAACATTTAGAATGGTGCCAGACTGGAGCGATGTGGATGACAGAATGGCGAACCGTCATGTTCTCAGATGAGTCACGCTTTTGTTTATCCAATGACAGTCACCGCATACGTGTGTGGCGTCAGCGTGAAGACAGATCTCATCCGGCAGTAACTGTGGAACGCCCCACCACGCGACAACGTGGCATAATGGTTTGCCTACCATTCCTGGTCACCTGTAGTTCGTATTCAGGGCACTATGATGGCCCAACGATACTTGGATAATGTACTGCGGTAGGTGGCAATCCCCTACTTTCAGCGGCTGCCTAATGCAATTTTTCAGCAGTATAACGCCCGACCACACAATGCTCACATCTGCCAACATGCTCTGCAAGGTATACAGATGTTTCCCTGGCCACCGTACTCTCCTGACCTGTCATCAATCGAACATGTGTGGGTGACTCTATGGCTAGACGTGTTTTTCCGTGCATCGCCGTCTGTGGTGGTCCTACATCCTACTAAGCCGACGCCTTTCTCGCTCTGTATACTGACTATCATTTTGAAATAAAGATCACTTATTGCTGCTTGCTGTCTCTGTCTTTTTTCCAAATTTCATCACTTTCTGACCACTCTTTCTTGGTGTTGCATTTTGAATGTCGAGCAGTGTATAACAGACCATTAATATAGACTGTGTCTCCAGAAAATAAAGCAAGGCAATTAAATTATTTTTAGCCTGTCAGCAACTTAGGCTTGTCTTTGACTTAAGTCAGAACAGTGGCATATATTATGGTTTTTTAATGCTGATTTAATTATTAGCCCGAAAGGGACAGTAGTCCCAAATGGGATATTAGTGTCAAAACAGCATTTTGCATCAAAATATTTAAATGTGTTGTATCTGAAAAGTGATACAACACATTTAAGTGTTTCGAAACAGCATTTCGCGTCTAAACACCTAAATGTGCTGTATTACTTTTCAGATTGTTGCCACAAAATATTATCGCCTTGTATTATATTTAGAGTAATTAAATAATGAATAATCTGTAAATGTATGTATATTTCTCACATTTTGAAAAAATAACAGCACTTACAGCCATCAAATTTTGTGTAACATAGTCTTCCACCCGAACATAGGCATCTAGAAGAATCATCTTTCAGACTCATCATCTTTTGAATTCGTTAATTATCTGTTTCACATTTCATAAAGCTTTAATGAAATTTTTGTTTAACAAACTAAATAATTTCAAAGAGAGCAGTGGTAACACTGTGCAGAATAAAACATTTTTATCTCCAGCATGCAAGACTCTATCCGAAATTCTAAAAATAGACTGTTTATAAATATTTTGTGATTTTGCTGTTGACAGTGGCAGATTGGGCAAAGAAATCAGCACTGACAGGAAAAATTGTGTTAGCCCAAAGGCTCCGTATAGCCCAAAGGCTCCGTATGAGATGTCATTATACATATAAGTTATCACTGGCATCATAATAATAAGAAATAATTTTATAAAATAAAAGTATACTTTTTCAGAAAAGTAACTGTTTGTTCATATCTATATACTATATATGTGCAAATAAACTACAATAAAAAAACAGTGACTAAATAATTATGTAAACAAAACAGTGGTTAATTAGCCATTTAAATAGTTTTTAATTCCAGGTGCCTGGACAAATATTTCCTCCATTATATCTTCAGTCTTTGCTTTAGCCAAAATATCCTTCTCTATATTCATCAATGGCAATGATTCCAAATTAATTTGCTTCATAGTACTCCTTAATCTACTTTTTACAATTTTTAATTTTGAAAAAGACTATTGCATTCATCTTGCGTTAAAAATAGGGTGAGTACAAACTTATAAGCATAAAAGACATTATCATACACGTTACTATATAAATTATATTTAAAGGGTAATTTCCATCTTGCAAAAATTGCACTTAGCTGTGGATGAATGCTCATTAATAGATAAGAGCACACTCTCCTTCTGACACAGCATCTGAAATTTTTAATAGAGTAGAAGTTCAGAAATCCGCAAAGCTTGGGACCAGAGGTTGTGTAGATTTTAAGATTTTGCGGATTTCAGGACACAAATGATAAATCATAATATTCAGACTAAAAGTGCAAAATAAATAAGGCGTATTAGATACATTTAATTAAATTATTATATACATTATTGCAATAACTTATATGCATTAAATTATTATTACATATATAAACTGATTGTATTATTCATTGTATTATATGTATACAGCATCGAGGTTTGCCGATTTCGCCTCATGCAGATTTCTGGTTTCGGATTCCGGTGTTAGAATCACTGTTGCTGTAAAATTTCAGCAGTTTTTCTGTATTTTTCCGTATATCATACACAATCATGTTGCAGTTCCATATGAATCTGCTATAAGAGGAGTAGCACCTGCCTCCATCTTTTGCAGAATTTGCACTTTTTGCATTACCATCAATGCAACGTGTTTACGTTTTTCAACCTTGCAAGCAGTAAAGTCATGAGTGCGTTTCTTATCGTAATTGTATTAAAAAGAGCATATTGCATATTTTTTATTACATATTTTAGAGTTAAAATATATAAAAAAATTTGGGTAAAAGAGATTTTTTTTTCGATATAGAATTAGATCATAGAAAAGGTTGTCAAAAACTGAAATTGATGAATAATGATACAAAAGGAAAATTTTGAAAATTAATATTGGTTAAATTTATTTTATAAAATGCAAAGGTAAAACATATATAATGAAAATATTTACATAATGTAATAGTTTGCACCACTGTCGAACGTTTTCAATAGAAACTGAATTTTCAGTTTCATGATTATCTGCAGAGGAATCCAAGAAATTCTCATCAGTTTCGCTGTAACTATCTTCAATATACTTGAAATCGGAGTCAAAACTACTATCAGTGTCGGAAATATCATCAAGAATATAGGTTATATTACTCATGAAACGCTTCCTGCCAGACATCTTTGAGCTCTGAAAAGCACACGCAAAATGCTACATTACATATTCTTGTATATTTGGCAGAAATGTGGACAAGTAACGCCATCTGTTAGCCTACATCTAAATAAACAATTAAACATCACAGAAAAGCTGAAAAGAAACCTTGAACGGGGAAAGAGCGGGTTGCAGAGTTAAATAGATGGCTAAAA